AAATCTAACACGTTACTAGTCTAGTTCTATCGCTAATGATAGTAAATGATGGTCCCAAATAAGAAACTTGTACAGATATAGAAAACCATAAAGTAAATGATGATGATGATGATGATGATGATTGACCATTATGTTCCTTGTTAGTGGTGGTATTCGAGAAAAAACCTGAATCCATAGCCAACCAATTTTCAAAATATTTTTTCATTCAAAAATTTTTTTTCTAAAAATTCAGTTAATAGCCCTTGCATTGAGAAAATTTTTCAATTTTTTTTCTACCTGCGCACTCACTGCACACTGTTATTCTTCACATATTATCAATTGTAAATGTGATAATGACATGTTTCTGACAACGAAAACAACAACAACAACAACAACAAAAAATTGAACCAAAATGAACATTGGAGAATAACTTGATCAAATTCTAACTACTACTACTCAACTGTTTCCCTTGAAAGTGAAAAAAAGAAGACAGACGACAGTTTTTAAAAAGCACGAAATAAATAAATAAAATGGAAATTTTTTACCAAGATTTTCAGTGTCATTCATTGAATGAATGAAATGAATTCAAATTCAAAAAAAAAAAATGATTCAATGGAAAAGAGAGTGAGAGAAAGAAAAAAAATTGAAATCACACACACACACACACACTTGTTACATTTACAACAACAATATGATCCAAATCAAAGTCGAAGGGTCAAATTGCAAAATTGGCTAGTATTTTTTTTTCTTGACCATGAAAAAAAAATCATGAGCTTGTTTAGATTACAACTACTAGGGTAGGGTCAAGCACACACATACACATACACATACAGTCCATAGGTCATATATATAGGAATGTTTCGAATGAATGATAACGAAGAAATTTTTTTTTTTTACACAATGAATCGGATATAGAAAATGGTGAATAGAATAGAATGGCAAATAAAGAACCCTAAAAAACACAAACATTGCAGTGGACATTGAGACATCAGCATATATGAAGTAAACGAACAAAATGAAAAGAAAATTTTTTTGCGTTTCGATCGATAAAAGAAAAATGGTCTTTGAACAATCATCAATGGTGTATATTCAAAATATTGGATTGTGAAAAGAAATGGAATGTCAAACGTTTTTTTGCTACCACCACACACGTACACACACGGACACATTGTAAATATTCACGCGATATTTTTCATATATGTGAATTTTATAGGTGAATAAAGGATGGTTTCTGGCCAATTATTTTAAAAATTGATGATTCACACAGAAAAATCAAAAAAAATAGCCATATCCACCCACACACATACACACACAAATTGGGCAATTAAAAAACATTTTTACGCTTTACTAGTGGACAGACAATCTCGATGATCAAGACAACAAAAACATTGACAATTCTTAAATATTGAATGGATCAAAATAGAATCTGTTGTTTTTTTGTTTTGTTTTGTTCAAGACTAAATATCCATAATAAATCGATTATCGATAACCAGTTGTTCGGTTCGGTTGTGAAGCTCAAGAACTTGTTAAAACAGAAAAGAAAGAAATCTTTTAAGGTCAAAGAACATATTGAAAATTGAAATTGAAATGAAAATCAAACACACAACAAGACATGAATGCATAAAAAACAAAAAACATAACGTAACTAAATATAATTCAAGCGAATAAAATCTCTGGATATTTGAAGAAAAAAAATTCAACAACCATACAAGTAAACAAAATGAATCATAGTTCAAAAAGCAAACCAAACTATTTAGTTATGGTGTTCAAAGGTTGCCTAGCTATATCTATGGCATGGTTTCCAACAACCGTAACATAGAGAGAAATACGGATTCCAATAGTTTTTTCTCCCATATTGAAAAAACAAACAAACAAACAAACAAACAACCAATTTATACACCACCAAAAAAAAAACACACACACACACACACACGAAATCCTGTATTTGAAACAGAAAAACCCTTGGACCTAGCGTGTAGATTTATAACTACTACAACAACAACAACGGCAACAAGTTCATTGGTCACACCGTCGATATAAACTAGGTCCAATATTTGTCCAAAATGGTAATAATAATAATAATACAAGGGCCACAAAACTAGCAAAACAAATAAAATAGTAAAAAAAATGAAGAAGAAATGAAACCATTTTATATTTGACCAAAGAAAGGACAAAGTTTATATGTTTCAAAATGGATCAATATTTGAGAGAAAAAATTTTTTTTTTCGTTAACCAAATGGACGATGAAATTGTTTCGATTGAGATTGACCCACCGTCACCACCACCACCACCACCCGTCTGGCTAAAAGCAACGAAAAAAAACCTTTATGCACACACACACACACAAAACTTGATGAAAACTATTTACCATTTTTATTATGATCGAACAAAATGAAAAGAAAAGATTTTTTTTTCCATTTGGAACAACAAAAACATTGATATTTTATCAGATAATAGAGATATATAAATATATTTGATCCATAAAATCAAAAGAGAAATTCACAGAAAAAATTGGTAAACAAACAAACCGAAAAAAAATAGGGATGATGATGATGATTTTGTTACAACAAGCCAACAACAAAACTTTGCATTTGTTTATCAATAAAAAAAAAGATAAAGGTCCTTGGGTCCTAAAGACCATCACCAATCAAAAATGGACAACAACAACAACAACACTATTTGTTGATCGATGACAAGCATATCAATTGAAATGAAATGAAAGAAAGAAAGACATCCATTACATCAGATAAATGACTCAATTTTTTTTAAAAAACATTGAATAAAAATGGACTTATCGATCGCCATCATCATCATCATCATCATCACCATCATCGATGCATACACACGTTGTGTGGCCATGCCATTAAAACAACATTGATTATGATGATGATGATGATGATGATCAAAAAAAAAAAAAAGTGTCACTGTACCTGGGTAACTAGATACCTGTTTTTACTTTCAAGAAAAAAAAAAAAAAAAAATTTTTTATTGTAAAGATTCTAGACGAAAACGAGAGAAAAAAAAATAAATGAAAAGAATTTTGTTTAATGATAAGAAGAAATGTTTTGCCAAATGGTCAACATGTGGTTGATATATAACCGGTTATTAACCGTTTGTAAGGTGATGGCCGATTTTGTCCGGTCGTCTTTTTTTTTTTTTTTGGTTGACAACTTTTATCAAAAACGATGATCATCAATGACGAATTTTTCTTTTTCTTTCTCATTGAAATCAAATAGCAATCTCAGATAGATTGATTGGTGATTTGATCTCATCATGTTTTGTTGAAAAAAAAATTCGGTTATTTTCATTTCCAAAATGTCATTCACTTTCATTGATGATGATTATAACTTAGATGTTATCATCATCATCATCATCAAAGTATTTTGGTGATTGAAAAAAAAACTTGCTTTAATTCAATTTAAACCAGATGAAAAAAATGATCATCACTTTCATGTGTGTCTGTGGCAACATTGGAATTTATCTTGAGAATTTTTTTTCTCTTCGTGAGATGATCAGAAATTGATACATGGTCACATAAATCCTTGGATAATAATAAAGATAAATAATAACCGAAAAGAAATGAATAGAACGATATAATCCGATAGTATCGATTCGAATATTTTTTTTCATTTCTCATTTCATCAAATGATTCCATGTTTGTTTGATTATTCAATATTCCATCTATTGAGTCGATCGCTTTTGTTTGTTTCTTATAAACAAAATGAGATTTTTGTTTGATGTTTGTTTGGTAGGTGTGTGTGTGTGTGCGAAATATTTACAAGAAAAAAAATCATCCAATTGAACTAGCCAACAGCATGTGGTCATCAACAGCATAAAGATTGAACGAAGAAGAAGAAGAAGAAAAAGCCAAAAACAAAACAAAGTGACAAGCATCATAAGAATATCGTGGTCAAATTGTGATTAACAACAACCAAACATCGTATATTAATAACGGGAAAAAAGCCACGAATTGATTCTCATCAATTTGGCTAATTCAATTCAAAGTGAAACAAACAAACAAAAAAAATCCACCACCACCACCACCAGTTTGTATATCTTTTTATTCCCTCTTATAAATCCAAACATTTGATGTGAATGTTTTACCATAAACACTGACGATGATGATGATGATGATGACGAATGGAACTTGAATCTTTGTTTTCGTTCATTCATTCATTCATTTGAAAACTAAATGAACACATCTGACAAACAAATGCTTATTAAAATGAGTCGAAAGACCAAAAAAGATCTCTTTTTAAAATGTAAATAAAATTGTAAAATTAGAACACACACACACACACACAGAATACAGAGAAATGGCATTCATTTAAATCCTCATTTTTCCAATGAAATGAATCCATCCATCCATCCAATTATACAAACACATAGACAATCGTCATTCAAGAATCATAACAACAACAGAAGATTCTGACAATAAGAAGAAAAACAAAAAAAAAAATCTCTCCAAAACAACAATAACTAAAAACCAAAAGTAAACTAGAATTGGGGACAAAAACTTTTTTTTTTTTTCGCTTACAAACAAATTGAAATTGAACAGAAAAAAAATCACTGCTTCTGATTGACACGGGAATTTTTTTCCCTGGCTCTTTTTTTTTTGGTTTCGGATGGCTAGACTTGTTAATATGAACCGATTATTATCATATTGATTGTGATGAGTATAGACAATTCTACATTGGTAAAAGTATTGGACGATGATGATGATGATTGTGATTAAAAACGACAAATAATCACTAATTTTTCACCGACGACAACAACAACAACAACAACATCTTGAAACTTAAATAGGAAAACAAGTCAAAATCTTGTTTTTTGTTGTTGTTGATTGAGCAATTATCGAGTGTAAAATAATATGACATGACATGACATGATTATTATTATGTATACAGTATAACAGACGCCAAAATCTGGTTATTCATCACCAGAAGAACTGATGATAAATAACCGGTCATTTAACTGGTTAGAATGAAAGAAATTCAGATGTTCAAAAAACCAACACCTACCATTTGACCCAATGCTGTTCCATTGTGTGGATGATATGGTGAATGTGGATTACCGAATGCTGGATAACCAAATGGTGAATATTGTAATGGTGATTCAAATTTTCCTACAAAAAAAAGTTTAAGAAAAATGAATGAAAATTTGAATAGAAAATGAGATTTTTTTATGAAAATGTCATCGTTGTTATCGGACGAATAAATGAATGAATGAAAAAGAAGAAAAACTCAAGCCTTTCATCATCAAACATCCAGTTATAGATAACAACAACAGCTACCCATTTACCAGTAATATATGAATATGATAACAGAATCTGATTCTGATTATTAATCGTTTTAATATTCAAAATAACATGATGAAATCATCAAATCAAATCAAATCATTGACAATGAATAGTGTGTTTGTGTGTGTGTGATACATCCATAACCATAAATATGAGGACAACGGTGGTGGTATCATTAATCATCATTTTTTTTAATGGTCGGTATTACTATCATCATCCTGATGATATATGATGATGATGATTAAAATGGGTGCCATTTTTTTATTTCAATAATTTTCCATCACATTCAATTCAAAATTTTTATCTCTGATAATTAAGTGTAAATGGCTGTAAAGATGGCGCTCATCATCATTATCATCATAATCATTATGTAAAATCATTATAAATTAATGATTAATTTAATTTAATTAATAAACGTCAAAAAATAATCATCATTGATCAGAAAAATTAGACATATAATAGGATTATTATATATTCATAAGATTTTTGTTTTGTTAAAACAGAATTCTCATTTGAAATGATGATGATGATGATCCTGCTACTTTGGCCACCATCATCATTATCATCAACAACGTCAATATGAACATCTGGTTTTGTTTGTTTGTAAAAAAAAATGGATGAATGAATGAATGAATGAAAACACCAAAATACAAGTCAAGTCATTCAATCAAAACAGAGAGAAAGAGAGACACAGAGACAAGACAAGACGAATCGGAAGTGTATATTAAATAGTCCATCATCATCATCATCAACATCATCAACATAGCTACTGTGAGAATTACGAATGTTCATCATCATCATCATCATCAATAGGCCAAAGGGCCACCATCATCATCATCATCATCATCCGAATGTGTTCAACGAAAAAAAAAAAAGAATTGAAATTTTAAACAGAAATGAAAAGCAAGAAAACCCCCGGCTTTTTCTATACACAACCAACAAACAACCAACATATGATGATTGTGAAACATATAACCAAAAAAAAAAAAAAAATCGGAACATATTCCACACTAATGAACTAATTTTTTTTTGTCTTGCTTACTTGTTTTTTAAAAACACACACACAACTACTACACACATATGATGATGGAATTGTTCTGACTTGAAACTGAAACCTTAAACGTTTGATGCTGGACTTTCAAAAAAAAAAAAAAAAAAAATTTTCGTCATTCGAGATAGAGTGAGAGTGAGCATTGATCTCAAGATTGTTTACAACATCAGAAAATGTTGAGCAAACGATAGTGTTTGGAATAAATCTTTCTGTTGTATAAGAGAAACTTGGATTTTTTTTTTTTGGGAAAATGAAATTCATATGGTCACTTTCATCATATGGTTGTGGTGGTTGCTGAGACCTAGCACAATTTTTTTTTAATGTTGTTGTTTAGTGGATTTTTTTTTCTTGAAACAAAGTTTCTATCCATATGTAATCTTAGACTTTTTAGAAAAAAAAAAAATCAACAACAACAACAACAACAAATTTGACCAAGAATGACAAGAGCGATGAATGAAACTATGTCTCTAATGTCATATATGTATATATATCAATATGGAATACCAATTGAAACACCAGTGGTGAGAGAAAAAAAGGAATTTTCTAAAATTAATTTGATTAAATTCAACAAGTGATCTGTCTGTCTGACAATTTTTTCCGTGTGTAAATGTTGTAAATCTCATAGAACAAATAATAATAATAAAAAATTGGATTATATTTTTTTTCTGTTGTTGTTATAATCTTAAGTGTGTGTGTGTTTTGTTTGTGCCACATTATAATCATTGATGATGATAAGAAAAAGAATCCAAGAGAAAAAAAATTGTGGATTTTATCATCATCAACATCATCATTAATATGATGAGTTAGTTATTATTATAAACTATGAGGGTGTGATCCTTGTAATAATAACAAGAAGATTGCAATACTCAATCATCATCATAGTAAGGGGATCAAAACATTTTGATTATGATGATGACGATCATTTTGTGTTGTTGTATATCTCGAGTAAACATCAGAGAGAGAAAAAAAATTTTTTTTTTCTCTGATTTTTTTATTATCATCATCATCATGATTATTAACAATAATCATAAGAAGTAGATGAAAAACTAGAACAAACAAACAAAACAAACGAAATCATAATCATAATCGTCACCAAGATCAGTGTTGAATAACAAAAAAAAAGTGAATCAATGACAAAAAAAAAAAAAATTTCTTCTTGATTGATTCTGAATAATAGAAAATTTTTGAAATGGTAAAAGTTTTTTGAACATTGATTTTCATTCGTTGACAAAAAAAATCAACACATTGATAATCCTAGACAAACAATAATGGTGATGATGATGATGATTATTGGTTGTAATAAGTTTGTCGGAATTTATGTTTTCTTTTCCGATTTTTTATTATTATTGTAATTTGTGGCCGTCGTTATCTATGGTGCAATGTTTTTCTTTTTTTTTTTTTTGTTTTGTTTTGTTGTTTGTTTGATGAATGGAGATTATTATATTTCTGGATTTTCTTTTCATCATTTGATTTGATTTGATTTGTGATGACTGATTCCCCGTTGGAAAACAAAAGAGATTTAGATTTATATATAAGATAAACTTACCACCGAAATTTGATTCTGTTGTTGTACGATTGATTGGTGATGATGATGAATGTAGACTACCGATATCACCTAAAACACCATTTGTTAAATTTTGTCGATTATTTATTGGATCATTTGGAATTGTTGTCGATGTTGATGATGATGATGATGATGCCGCCGCAGCAGCAGCCGCCGCTGCTGCTGCTGCTGCTACCACTGATGCTGAAGAAGGTGACGATTTTGATGATTGTTTAATCGATGATGTTGTTGAACCGTTTGAAACATCACCACCACCACCACCACCACCACCATTAACATTTATCACTGTTGTCGATGATGGTGATGATGATGACGCTGTTGTCGATGATTTTCGATTCGATCCGGTGAATGAATTTTTATCCTTTTGAAGAAGAAAAAAAATCGAAACAAAACAGAAAAAAAAATTAATTTTTCTTGTCTATATATCAAATTCTTAAAGATCAAAAAAAAAGACAGAGGAAAATCTGGTTTCCTGGTTAATGTTTGTTTTGTTTTGTTTTTTTTTTTTTCGTAGGGTCAACAACAACAACAGAGGAAAAAAAACTTTAAAGATTTTTCAAACAAGATAACCACCACCACCAACACCACTATTTCCATCTGACATTTTTCGATATGTCAATGATCCAACTAACTATAACTATAACCAACAGATAGCAAGCAAATAGCCAATAACGAACCACTTGATGCTGTTTGAATGGCTGCAATCACATTTTAAAGATTTTGATGGCAAATAGGAAAAAAATTTTTTTTGTTTTTATCCCCTCATTTCAGTTGATGAAATGATTCAAACTTTTAAACTTAATTAGCCTCTAGTACAAATCATCATCATCATCACCACAGCAGTAGTAAGTGGTGAGAATTTCATTCCAAAAAAAAATTTTTTTATTCCTGTTTTCTAGATATTTTTTTCTGTGATTGCGAAAAAAAAACAAAATTCCAATGATAAAAATCAATGACCAACAACGAACAACAACAACAAGAAACCGAAACTGAAATCACATTTTAATGATGATGACATTTTATTTTGTAATAATAATCTTGTTCAAAATGGAAGAATTTTCTGCCATCTTTCTCTTTCTCATCTCATCTGGTATTCCATTTTGTCGATTGCAAAATTTACAAATTAAAAAATCTGGTTCGATGCAATTATCGATGAAGGCGCAATAAAAAAAATCATCAAAACAACAACAACAACAACAAAAATGACGACAATTTTTATGTTTTTCTCTTTCTTTTTCTCTCTTTTTCACTCTCGACAAAAATTCATGGCCACAGGGCCAAACGACAATGATGAATTTTTGTTTTGTTTTCTCTTGTTTCCACTGCTGTATATGTGTGTGTGTGTGATATAAAACACAGGGGTAATATATTATAATCATATGAAGAATTTATGATTCTGAAATCATCAATTCAATGACCCTCCTCTCTGTTCTCTCTCTCTCTCTCTTCTTGAATTGTGAAATAAATAAGCAGAAAATTTAAAGCTTTTTACGAAATCTCAAAAAAAAAAAAAAAAACAAAAATATTACGATTATATTGGTGTGTGTTAGGTAAGCTAAAACACATACTCAAACACACAGAGAAACACACCAATAATACCTGTTGCATATAAATAAATAAACAAATAAACAAACAAACAAACATTAAGGATCAGATCAATGCGTTGAAAAAAAATTACCTAGAGAGAGAGAGAGTGTATGTGGTATTTTTGATTTTATAAATTGAAAAAAAGGCTTTAAGCCCTAGCAATTGAGTGAGTGAAAAGATGAAAACAACAACAACAACAACGACAACATTATCAAGGTGGTATATAATGAGATGAAAAGGTAAGACCACTTGTTTGTGATAATAGATTTTTTTTATGGCTTTTTGCTCGTTTTAGTTTTATTCGTTTTTTTGCTGAAAATCCATCGAAAATGAATATTTTTTTTTTCTTATCCGAATTTTGTTTTTCGTGTAGGTTTACCATTTAAGATTTGAATTCTTTTTGGAATTTCTTTTCATTTCATTGTTGTTTGTTGTTTTTTTTTTGGCATACAAATTAACAAAAAAAAAACAAACCACAATACGCACTTTTTTTCAATATGACAAAAATATTTGGTACAATAACAAAAAAAAAAAAAAATGAATGATATCTATCGATACGCAGAAAAGAAAAAAAAATAATAATTGATCTATTGATTGATTGCAATGTTTGATTGGTGTGGCTTTTTTTTTCTTTTTTTTCCACCCCCCACACCACGTACACAAATACTACAAGGATTGGATTCACACATCCACTACTAACATGAAAATAACAAAACAAAACGAAAGAAATTTCCGATTGGATACATCATCGAAATCAGAAAATGAAATTAGAAAGAGAATATATCTATGCAAGTAGATAAAGAAAGGAAAAGTACGGTATATATTTGATGATGATGATGATTTAGTCTCTATATTTTGTTTTTGTTGTTGTTGTTATCGTTGTTATTGGATATAAAATGTCACATTTTTTTTATAAACACAACAATCGAGTAAGCAGAAAAAAAATTTCTTAGTTTGTATGTATGTATTGTAAAACATACTAAAAGCTAACGAATGAACGAGAACGAAAAACGAAAAAATATGATAAGAATGAGTCGAAATAAACCATAAGTGACTTGTTTTGTTGCTGTTGGGTTTTTGGGCAGTGTCACACAATCAATCAATCAATCAATCACATTTGATGATATATTGGACATATTTATTTTAATTAATATGTACAGATATTCATTATTTTTTATCCACTTACCTGATCACTTTCGGTGATTAAACTTGATTTCAAATCAGTTAGATCAGCTGATGCACGTTTTTCATCTTCACCTTCAAATTTAAAAACTTTAATCTCATCCGAAGATGCAAGATCTTCGGCCGATGTACTACCGACCGGCATTTTTATTTATTTTTTTGGTTTTGGTTTTTTTTTATTGATGAGATTATAAAATTATGTTGATTTTATATAATTTGATAATGATGAGACCAGACATTTTTTTTTTTTTTGGAACACATACGATTGGTGTTGACACACACACACACACATTTTTTTTATGGAACACAAAATAGACACATGAGGTATATAGCCTCGTTTGGCAAGAACACATTAAACTTTCGAACACACACAAAAAAAAGAATGTAGAAAAAACACAAAATCAAAACATTACTTTCTTAATCAAGACAAAAGAAGATGATTGAATTTTTTTTTCTTCTTTCTTCCAATTGATTGTCGGCATTATGAGATCCTCGACATCATCGTCATCGTCATCCGCCGCAACATTTTGATGATTTCAAATTGAAATCGATCGAGTACTTTTTCATGTATGCTGGATTTATTTAATATACATTGGGGGTGGTGGTGGTGATGGTGGTGTGTGGCTACGACGCATAATTATTATAATTTTAATAATTTTATCAGAAAAAATTTTTTCTTTTTAATATCAAATCAACACACACACACACACATAGCACACATATAATATCAACAAAAAAAAAAACTAAATGATGATTGATGTTTTTCTATCAATCCATTCCAATTCAATTGATTGATTGATTGATTGATATGATGAAAATTGTGATGATTAATTTCATTGAATGGATCAAATGATGTGAATGATTATGATGAATGCAGTGGATGATAATTTTTCTAAATAATTTTTCAATTTGACGGAATTATTAAGAATTTTTTTTTCTGTTTTGGTTTTCAAATTTTCAGTGATAAACCGCCAAAAAAAAAAGTGAGAAATTTTTTTACTTTGACGCACATAAATAACAGGAGGGTACACACAAAAATACAGAAAAATTTTTGTATAACAGGTTAAGACTATGTGTATGTGTATGGATTGGTTTGTATAATTCGAATGCTGTGTAGACTAAACTACCCTTGTCGTCGATTTGGACCCGATTGGATCCATAATAATAATCAAAACTACCACCACCACCACCACCACCGGTTGTATCCATAAAAGTAGAAGTAAAGATTTATTCTATAATTGGTTTTGTAACCATCATCATCTATTAGTACTACTACTACTAGGCCTTTTTTTCTGGTCATAGTTATTTATGATTGGCTGATATACACTTGTCCTTGTATGTATGTGTGTGTGTACATTATTAATGCCCGCCCATTTTTTTTTTGCATGTATTCCATGGTTTACTGCTGCTCTGCATTTCATATTCATCATCATGTAATATAAATAAGGTAATAGTCACAATTCCATTACGTGATTAGATATTTCATATATAAACATCAAAATAATGATGACTTTTTTTGTCATTATGACCACTACGTGTTTGTTTATCAATGGATTCAATTCTTGGCTTAACGCGCGTATATATTGTTGAACAAACAAATCTTAATACTTATAATATATATAAAAGATAAGATAAGATCATCGAGAAAAAGAAGTGTATGTAATGTAATACACATGAGTATGGTATGGTATATATATTTTTTTTTGCTTACACATATCGTTTTTTTTTTTTGAAAGTGAACTTTGCACCTTTGATCTTCGATATGATGATGATGATGATGATGACGACGACGACGATGATGATGGCTTGAAGTCTCGAAATTTCCTAACAAACCAACAAAATGCTTGATGATAATTTCCTGATGTGTGTGTGTGTGTTCACAGCAGTTTTGATGATTTTTTTTTTTTTTTGAATTTATGTTAGTATAGATATGTTCCAGATTTAAAACTTTCAATCGAATTTATTGCCATCTATTGAGCAAGAATTGAAAAAAAACGTTCAATTTTTTTTGAGCTACAGGTATGGAAATAAAATACAAAATCGATTGTATCGCGATATATATATTGAAAAAACAGAAAGAATTTTTATTCTTTTTTTTTCACTCTCTCTCTCTCTTTCTCAAACACACACACACACACAATAAATCAATGTGTGTGTGTGACACTTTATTCCAGTGATATTTTAATATTTAGTAAAAACAAAGACGTAGCTCAAAGAGCTTTATTTAAATTACAAAATGGAACCTGATAACCAAAAGACTGATGATACCTCGAATAATAATAATAATAATAATAATAATGGTTCAAAATCAAATACTGAATTTGATTCTGGATTCTTATTCAATCTGTAAGTAATCATTTGAATTTGAAACACCAAGTTTTCTTTTGTTTCTTTCTTTTGTTTTGAATCCAACAATTAAAAAAAAATCCTATTATGAAAAGTGATCCGAAAAAACTTTCTTTTTTTCCCTATTCTAATGGAAAAAGTTGTAGCATTAAAACAGAATCAAAATCAACAATGCAACAACAACAAAGTATACAGATTTCATCGAAACGTGATGATCTTTATTATAATATGGGACATGAATATCAAGGACGTTGTATAATTTTAAATTATGAATCATTCGATTCTGAAGAGCTTAGCCGTCGTCGTGGCACTGAAAGTGATGTACGAAAATTGTTACAAACATTTAAACAGCTTAATTTTGTTGTTCAAATGTACAATGATCTCACACAGCAAAAAACGTTCGATATTTTTAGACAAGGTAAATTTTTTTTTTTTTTTTTGTTGAAGATGAATGTGAATATATAAATTTTATAATACTTTACACAGAATCAATGTTTGATCATACCAATTATAATTGTTTTGTCGTTTGTGTATTGACACATGGATCCAATGGAAGTATGTTGTATGTTTATCTTTGTTTTGGTTTGAATTCTCACTATTTTTTTTATCGTTCTATAGTTTTACATACAAAGGATAAAAAATTCGACACAAATAAAATGTTTGAATTTTTCACTGGTTCACGTTGTCCAACATTGGTTGGAAAACCAAAATTATTTTTCATACAAGCATGTCAAGGTGAAAAATTTGATTCAGGTGTATTGGCACATGATTCTCCATTATCGACACCGAATTATTTTATGGTACCAAATTATGCAGATTTTCTCATCTTTTATAGTACATTTCCTGGATATTACTCATGGCGTAATGTTGAACATGGATCATGGTTCATTCAAACATTATGCGAAGTATTTGATGAATATGGTCGAAAATATGATGTTATGACATTGTTGACTATTGTTTGTCAAAAAGTGGCCATCAATTATGAATCAAAAGTGCCGAATAATTTTTCAATGCATCGTAAAAAACAGATTCCATGTATTATGTCAACATTGACACGTTTAATTGCTTTCTGATCAAACTGGAACTACAACTGCATTTTCTTCATCAATTCAATTCTTCTCATATAGCATAATATTCCATATATATTTTTTTCGTTCAAATGATGATAGGTTAGCTCAAAATTAATTGTCTTCATTATTTGTTTTTCTTTTCGATCTTTTCATTCAATATCATATATATGATTCCTTGACGATATACAAAAAATTATTCCAATGAATCTTTTCTTTTCTTTTGATTTGCTCAAAGCCAACTTTTTTTTCTGTGTGAATGTTTTCTTTCATTGCCTTGAAAATTATGAATAAAATGAAAAAAATTTTAATTTTTAAAATTTTAAACCCTACCTTTCATATATGATGAAATGAATGGATGTTTCAAATTCACATCTAGGCCCGTCTGTTTAAACCAGGTGATGTTTTTTTTTCTCTGTTTGTTTGTTTGTTTATTTGCCCGGGTCCAAGAATTTTTTTTTTTTTTTTGAAAACCCTAATGTACAACAAACCTGTTGACTATTAATAATAATAATGTGGCCATTTGTTGACTTGAACAAGAAAAAAAAAATATTCAAATATCATCCATACCTGGAATAGATGGCCATCGAAAAACTTGCGCACCTGTGCCATGATGATGATGATGATGATGATTACCAACGAAGCAAAACAAGAAAATTCTCACTTGGTGTCAAAAAAAAAAAAAATTTGTTTCTCTTCTGTTAAGCACATCTTTCGTTGTATAGCGAAATGTATAAATCCATGACCAAACAACAACATGGTAAACACACACACACACACACACAAACATCAACAAGATTATGATGTCAAACATTGATAATGACCATGAAGATATAATTTGTTTAAATTCAAATTTAGGATTTTCGTTTCGGATTTTGATTATTCGAAAAAAGCCAATCGCGATCGAAAAATTCAATTGGGTGGATCCCATTTCATTATTCAATTTTGATTTGATTTTCCAATGAAAATCAGAATCGGATTCCAAAAAAAAAAAAAAAAAATAAAATAATGTTTTAGCAACATGAACAATAACGAGAAAAAAAATAACATCTGTGTGATTCAAATGTGGCCAAAATCTTCTTAACTGATCATGATGTTGATGGTTAACAAAAAAAACAAACCATTCTATTTTGGTTATTATTATTATTGGAAAATAAATCACCGATTTATTGAATTATGGCGCGATTTATGAGTTCATATTGAAAGACATCGACCATTTCATCTTATGGTAAACATCTAAAGCAAGAAAAAATTATTCTTAATCTGTATGTTGCTGTTTTTTTCTTTCTTACTTTCTGATCTTTTTGAATTTGTTTGATTAGCCAAAAGACAATATATCTATCTTGTCCTGATTGTGTGTGTGTGTGTGTGTATATATGCCATTCATTGGGTGTGTATCGTTAATTCATTAATTCAGGTGTACAAACTTTTGACTATAGTAAAAATTAAAAAAAAAACAAATTATAAATGTAAAGTTAAAAAAAAAATCTTGAGATTATTTTCTTTCTTTTTTTTTATATATATAAAGCTTTTTATTAAGAATTTCTTACCAAATACACATGATGGTGGTTAAACGGATCAACACCAACCACACCGGTGTGTGTGTGTGTGTGTGTGTGTGTACGTTTCGGTCGATCCCGGTCGGTGGTTAATATTTCTTCGTTTCTTCATCTCTAATAATAAGACAAATAAAGAAGAAGAAAAAAAAGAAGAAGAACAGCAATAATGATTGACCCATGACACCTGCTCGGTTTTTTTTTCCAATACATGCACATGCACATGCACATGCACATTTCAGTTCAGTTCATTCATTCATTCATTCATTCACGTGCGTTTATATATATGGCTTTATTTCTGGTTTGAATAAAAATAAAATGATCAAGAATTTACTGAAAAAAAAATTCAGGTGATCACACACACACACACACACACATACAAACACACATTAGTAAAAGGTAAGAAAAATTTTCTTCTGGAGGTTTAAAATGAAAATGTTCAAAGTTGATGATATTTCATTCGTTGTATGCACCTTGCACATGTTGGATCGATTGATTATCATTATTTGATTGATTGATCGCGCACATATTTTTTGTTGTTGTTGTTGTTTTTACATAGTGGATTCTTGTTCGCTACAGAATTCAGAATGAAACAATTATTATTTAGAATTATCATCTTTTATTTCCTGTCAATAGAATCGACCATGATTCTTGTTGAATGTCGTCGTATTAGACTTGGTCGTATGGTTGGTATTTTTTTCATTTTTGATCACCGAATACTAATCGAATCAATTTTTGTTTTCATTCGAATCTAATATTTTAACTCAAACAGAGACCGGGATTAATTTCAATGAATGGACAAATTTCATCGACTATATTCACCAATAATCATCAAGAACCAACTGTAAAATCGAATGATAATTCTACATTGATTATTATTAATAATGGTAATGAAAATAATCAATCAACATCAATCTATAGTGAATGGTCAAGTTGGTCACGTTGTCGTAAACGATGTAAACAAGTTCGTACCAGAATCTGTATCCGACCATCCGATTGTCAATCGAATATACAGAAAGAGGAACGTGGTTGTACTGGTGATCGATGTCGACCAAATTATCATCATCATCATCATCATCATAATAATAATAATCACCATCATCATCATTATCAACAATTAATTGAACAGCGACCATCGGGTAGCAGTAATGGACGTGGCCGTGGTGGTACTGAATTCAAAGTACTTTATCATCTACAAAGTTATGTTTATTCACAATGGTCAAAATGGTCACCATGTACTGAACATTGTCAAACACGACGTTATCGTACTTGTGAAATGAAAGAAATCTGTGGTAATAGTACAATACATGAAGATGCTATCTGTGCAAAAAAAGGTAGTAATTGTGAAAAATATTTCAAATCCAAAGAAGATGAACATCAACAATTTGATTTGGAAGGATCATCCACGACAACAAACACAAATTCATATCGACAATCAATAAATGCAAGTCGTATGATTAATGATGAAACTTGTGGCCATTCATTTATACGTAATGATATGGCCAGTATGTTACGTATAATTGGTGGCCGTGAAGCAAATAAAGGACGATGGCCATGGGTTGTTGCCATATTGAATCGTAATCATGAAGCATTCTGTGGTGGAACATTGATTACATCACAATTTGTCATCACTGCTGCACATTGTGTTCGTCGTCGACTTTATATTCGTGCCGGTGAACATGATCTTATGATACCGGAAGGTTCAGAACAACAGGAACCAGTATCATCGTTATTTGTTCATCCAGAATATGATCCCGATACAGTGGATAATGATATTGCATTGTTAAAACTTCGTCGTCCATTACAAATGAATCGTTTTGTATCACCAATTTGTTTACCATCTGATCAGGATATTTTACCAACAAATAGTCTTGGTACAATTCTTGGTTGGGGTAAACGGAAAAATTCTGCAATGTTTGGTAGTGATGTATTACATCAAGCACAGGTACCGATAGCCGATAATGATGATTGTCGTAATGTTTATAAAGATAAATACATGATATCGAATAATATGGTTTGTGCTGGCTATAAAAAAGGAAAAATCGATAGCTGTGCAGGTGATAGTGGTGGTCCATTATTATTTAGTAAAAAATCTACATCATCATCATCATCAACAACATCAACAACGATAACGGATACAAAATGGTTTCTTTATGGTATTACAAGTTTTGGTGAAGGATGTGGTAAAAAGAATAAATATGGCATCTATGCAAAAGTACCGAATGTCGTACAATGGATACGTAAAACTATAATGGAAAATTTGGATTGAAAACAACCAATCAATCAATTTGTTATTCGATAAAATCCTGTGATAAAATAAATTCGACCACTACATATTGACCAATCCATCACCAACCAGCCAATTGTTTTTTTTTTTTTTTTTTGATATCTCAGCACTTTTATTTGTTTTTTTTTTTGATAATTTAATCAATTACCAATCAATTAATTAATGTAATGTAATGTAAAATGTAAAAAAAAAGAATTTCTATATATTCAAATGTTTTCTCTTTCGCTCATTTTTTTTTTCTCAATAAAAATCAATTAAAAGTGACGAAAAAAGAGATAATCATTTTGTGTGTGTGTGTGTGTGTCACACATATGTCACACATAATCACAGCGGTAGTTGACAAACAAATTTGTCAACACAAACGAACAAGAAAAAAAAATTCATTAAGGCCATAAGGCCAATAATAATATTATATATTGGACGACCTATAGAAAGGTGTTCGGCATTTATTTACCCTGTATAAACAACAACATCAATATTCATTGATTTTTGTTGTTGTTGTTGTTGTTGGATAATCAGCGTGTGGTGGTGAAAATTACCAATTTTCCCCCGCATTCACACACACACACACACACACACACACACATACACAAACAATCCTTTGACACCTGTGCAAATATTAATTTGCAGAATTTTCTTCATTTTGCTAAATTACAGAATAAATGCCATATGGGCCTTGACCGCGTTAGTAATGAAGAATGTTTTATAAGATTTTGGTGGAAAGAATTTTCTTTTTCTCTCTCTTTATTTGACAGCTGTTTTGTGTGTGTGTTGAACTTTACGTGGAATTTACATTTGCAGACTGCTTGACGCCAATCGTCGTCGTTTTCGTAGATAGCCTAAGTAATTAGCCTCAAGCAAATTTTCGAAATTTACATTACATAGTTCAGCATATATATGCTGTGAACGCGCACACACACACACACACACATATGGCCAATCATAAAATTTTTTTTTTTTTCATAAAATGTGGAAAAAAAACAAACCTGGATAAGCTGGAAAATGGTGATTGGAAAACCATCATCATCATCATCATCATCATCATCAATGAACAAAAGAAAGAAATGATTTTCAAACATCAACCAATAGAATATGATACTTGAAAAAATATATCGAAAATGAATGAATGAATGGTGTTTGAAAACATATAGAATTAATGAGATTGTATCACTATCGACGACGACGACGACGATGATGATGATGATGATTGGACAGAAATGATGATGATGATGATGAACGCGCGAACATTTCAAATCACGTTCTAGTTGATAAAATTTAGGTTTCAATACACACACACACACACACACCCACTATCAATGAAATAGAAATGAAATGAAATGAAATGGAAAAAAAATCAGAAAAATCAGAACGTTAAAAAAAATCTCACCGAATGATGGTGATAGATACACAACACACACACACACACAGTGACAGAGATCGAATCATTCGAATCGAATTCTCAAAAAAAAAAAAACATTCGAAATTCGAATGCCAAGGAGAAAAATTGATTTTTTTCAATTTCAAGGAAGCAAAATCATCATCCATTCATCATGTGTGTGTGTGTTATATAAAATCAATCATCAAATGAAATAAACAAATTCTGAATGGAATTTGTGGTAATTGAATGAACAAAAAAAATAAATTACAACAAAATGAATAAATTCTTTCCATTGAAAATACAATTTTTTTCTATTAATGAACATCAACTAATCATGATGATGATGTGCCCGAACCAAACAACGAAAACAACCAGAACAACCAGAACAACGAAACGAAGAACCAGAATCAGAACAAAATCAAAAATCCAATGATGATGATGATGTTCTATTTTTGTCCATTTTTATTATTATTATTCATGTTTCGATTTTCAATTTGATTATCATCATTACTTTGGCAATTATCATTATCATTATCATAATCATTATTATTATTATTATCAATATCGATTCGTTTGTTGTTGGTTTTTTTTTGAAATAATAATAGCCTCAATTAATGTTTTTCATTCATTCACATCATCATCATTCACATTATTGTTTCATCATCATCAAAATAGCGGGTCGCGCCCATCTAATAGTATTTATCTTCATCTTCAAATGTAAATTCACCACCATCAACAGTGACCAGTTATCATTGCAATAATCCAAATATATTGGGTCAAAGATCGATTCTTTTGGCTTTTGATCTAGATTTCAATCAAACACACACACACACATTCCAATTTGAACATTTTGATTTGTATGAAGTTGTCCATGTATATGATCATTTCAGAACATTATATTCATTCGATTAAATCAGTGAAAATTTTTAATTGTTGTGAATATTTTTTAATCTGACAATGGCCAACAACAACAACAACAACAATAACAACGATGATTATGATGATGATTATGGTTATAATAATTATGATGATGATGATTATCATGATAAAAATCATTACCATTTTCAATATCAACAACAACAAACAACAACAACAACAACAACAACAAAGACGAATACATCGGAAGATTACAATGGTAAAGAGAATCTATCGAAACGTGTTCGTAAACGTTTATCATCATCAAAATTATTTGGTGCCTGTTTCCGATTACCAAATCGTTGCCGTAGTTTATCAACAGTAAGTTGTCTTGTTTTTTTGTTTGTTTTTTTTTAAAAATTTTGTCCTCATTTCGTTTGTCTTATGGTCATTGACACATGTGTAGATCAGTTGTTGTTGTTGTTGTTGCTATTGTTGTTGCTATTGGTGATGAATTTGATTTTTAATTTCATCCAATTATACACCCCCATTGAAATACAAAAAAAAATGACATGTGTGTTGTTTGTATCTAAAAAAAAAAATACTACGTTGAAATTAAACACCAACGCCATTCATTAAAAACACACACACACACATGAAACAAAAAAATCATTGACCATTATTTATATCATGATCATGATCATAAAAAGATCAATGAAACAGCCAAATGATTTTTATTGGTCACGAAACAAAAATCTGGATAATTGTCATGAATTTTTTTTTGTTTGAAAAACATTTTCCATCCGCTATCGATAGATGGCACAATGTTTTTTATATGAAAAATTCTTCAATGAATGTGATTTGGTTGGTATTTTTTTTTTTAAATACGAAAAATTTCTGAATCAGCAGACAGCATGGTGACTTTTGGACATGTCCAAAGAATTCTGTTCTATAAATGAATGACCTGACCTTTTGATTCTTTTTTTTTTTTTTTTTTGGTTTTGGTTTTGGTTGGCTGATCACAATTGATTGGATTGATTGATCGATTAAAAAACGGTCAAACTTGACATTGTGGACCAACCTTACAACCTGATAATAATAATAATAATAACAATAATAACAAACCGAGCTCAATAAAACAGGCTGGCTTATACAGCTGGCTCGATCCATTCATGCATGCATGCATACACAAAAAAAAAACGGGTCCATGCTCTTTGCGCTAACTGAAACCATTCATGTATGTGTGTGTGTGTGTTATATACCAAAGAGAATAATGATCGTATTGCTTTCTAAGCTATTTTTTTTGTTTCTGAATTACAGACAGCTTTTTCATACACAACTGGATTTTTATTTTTTGGTTGGATATACACACTCCATACGATATCTTGATGTTTATATCATCATCATCAACACATCACAAAAAAAAATTGTGGTTGGTCGGATGAAGGTCTGGTGTTGATGTTATTTTTTTTTTTTTTTGGGTGAGGCAGCCTTATATGTGTATATATTGGTATGTGTTGTTTGTTTTATATATATATATGCATTATTTTGGTTATATGATGATAGAGTGGTATCGTCGACATATTTCAAAATGATTTAAAAATGTATAATTGAATTGTATGGATTGATTAAAGTTGAAGCTGCTGCATTTTTATCCATCATCATCATCATCAATTAAAAATTGTTTTTCATCATCAATTGAATTAAGAAAATGAAAAACGAATGATAATAATAAAGTAATTCAATGTCATAAGTCACTGTGTTGATTACATAATAATCATCATTGTTTTTATTGTTTATTTATTTATTGTTATATATTTGTTATAAAAGTGTTGGTGTATATGTTTCATCTTATCTTCATCATCATCATCATACGACGACGACGAATGAATGAATGAGTGAAAAAAAACCCGATCAAACCAAAAAAAAAAAAAAAAAAAAAACTATAACCGGTTGGCATTTGTGATTGAATGTTGAATATAAAAAAAAAACTCATTGCCAACAATAACATCCCCCCATACGCGAACATATTATAAACACAAACACACACACACATAGTGACAGCGAGAAAGAATTTTTTTTTTCCTTTTCAAAATGTTCATATACGTGTGTATTTGATGCGACTTTTGTTTGTTTGTTGTTGTTGTGTAATACTTGATGTTGTTATGTTCGTTTGCATATAGACAAATCAATTCTTTGAATTTTTTTTTTTGTTGTTTGCTCGGATGTTTTCAATAGTCATCATCAGTCAGTTATTTTTATAATTATAAACAAACACACACACAGAAAAAACTTTATCAAACAGCAACAAGTTGAATTGAAAATCATTAAAATTTGATTTTTTTGTTTTTGTTTTTTTGAAATGAAAACATTTCTTTTCTCAAATCAGCAATAAGTGTTCATGCTGTGTTTGTTTGTGTGTATGTGTGAGATTTATTTAAATTTTTTTTTCGGTTGCTCATTTCATTCATTCTCATTGATCTTATTCACCACTTTTCATGTCATCATTGACGAATTTGATTATGATTTTGATTTTCTTGAAAATTATATGGTGACATTCAAACACCAAACAAACACACACACACACACACACACACACCCATTATTTATTTTCGTGTTCCAAATAATCCACCCCAAAAAAAAAAACAAAATCATCACTTCCTTACTCAAGATCAAATTGCGTGATGAAATAAAAGATGAAAAAAAAATCCCAAATATGACAATCAGTAATAAAACATAATAAACAACAATAACGAAAGAAGAATATTCTGGTTTTTTTTTAATGTGTGTCATCATTGTGTTTCAACAACAACAACAATAATAATAACAAATCACCACCACCACTACTACTACTACTGCTGCTGCTGCTGATGTACCTTGAATTTTTTTTTTCTATCAATTCTGAAAAATATCAAACCGGGAATTATAACCGTCCCGTTTGACATCTTGGCCAAATGAAACTTATGAAATTACACATTGCAGATAAATCCACAATATATATATATAGCTCTTGGATTGGTCCACATGAAAAAAAAAGAAGAAGAAATTATATAGAATCGATTTGATACACCATTGATGATGACGTCATGCAACATTCATGTAGATTCAATGGTGAATTGAATTGAATTGAATGAATGAAACGCCATTAAAACCTATGTGTGTGGTATATATATACAATATTCTCTTCATTTGAACATTTGAGTTAGAGTCTGAGAATATATTATATTCACTTTTTTTTTGAATGCGGATATTTCGTTTTTTCGTTACTTCTTTGATTAGTTCTTGGTTTGCTTTGAATTTCGATTGATAATGATTTGAATCATCATCGTCATATATATAAATTTTTTTGTGTCACAGTGATATCCGTCGTTGTTTAGTCCTTCAAAAGAAATTTTTTTTTTTTTTTTGATATCAAACTCTTATCCACATACAGACACTGGTATCACTGACAACGACTATATTATCATCATTCATCATCATTATTAATCGCCATTCTTATATCACCTTGTTGTTGTCGTTGTTGCTTTTTGTGGTTTTACTGAAAAAGTGAATGTTTCGGAGTGTGTGTGTCCACAATTATCAAGGAGATTTGTCATATATATATATCATTTACAAGAAAACAACTGTATCTTGCTGTTGCTTGTTTGTATTATTGATTTGGGTTGTTTGATTTATTTTTTCGCCCTACTTTTTTTTCATCTTTGACGACAAGAAAAAAATATCCTTGTCCATATATATTCAGCAAGAAAAAAGAAACCAAATAATAATAAGAATTCATTGAAAATTTGACAGAAAAAAATTTTTAAACTTTTTTTTAGATTAGATTTTTGTCTGTTGTTGATTTTGTTTTCATATTTTCATATTTGCATCACATTATTCACCATCATCGTCATCTTATTGTAAAAAAAAAAATTTTATTTCACAAAAAAAAATGGTAACTGAAACTCAGATTCAACACCATCCACCACCACCACCACCACAACAACAACAACAAACATCATCAGCAACACAACCTGCTGTCAATGATGTACATCATCATCATGTACAACATCATCAGGTAATGATTATGATGAAGATGAAACATTCTGGATCATTGTTTACTTTTTCTCGATTCGATTTTTGGTTTTGTTTTTGTTTTTGGTTTTGATTAGATTATCAATCAATCACTATAGTGATTGTGTGTATATAATAATCTGTTTATGATTACCTGATTTGTTTATTTCTTCATTTTTTGATAATTTTTTTTTCTTTGTTCTAGACCGATGGTGTTGCCAGTTTTTTACGTGCTGCACGTGCTGGAAATTTGGATAAAGTACTGGAATATTTAAAAGGAAGTTTTGATATCAATACCTGTAATGCAAATGGTTTGAATGCATTACATTTAGCATCTAAAGAAGGTCATGTACATGTTGTTACTGAATTGATTCGTCGTGGTGCAAATGTTAATACAGCAACCAAGGTTTGATTGCAATTTGAAAACATTTTAAATTTAAAATTCTAAAATTATCATTTTTTCCAATTTAACAGAAAGGAAATACGGCACTACATATAGCATCATTAGCCGGTCAAGATGAAGTGGTCAAAGTTCTAATACAAAATGGCGCCAATGTTAATGTGCAATCTGTCAATGGTTTTACACCATTATATATGGCCGCACAAGAAAATCATGATGGTGTTGTCAAATATCTATTAGCCAATGGTGCTAATCAAAGTTTAGCCACTGAAGATGGTTTCACACCATTGGCTGTTGCTTTGCAACAAGGCCATGATCGTGTTGTAGCTGTTTTATTGGAAAATGATACAAAAGGCAAAGTACGATTACCAGCATTACATGTAGCGGCTAAAAAAGATGATTGTAAAGCGGCAACATTATTGTTACAAAATGATCATTATCCGGATGTAACATCCAAATCGGGATTCACACCTCTTCATATTGCTTCACATTATGGTAATGAAAATATTGCTGCATTATTATTAGAGAAAAATGCCGATGTTAATTTTGCTGCTAAACATCAAATCACACCATTACATGTGGCTGCTAAATGGGGCAAAGGAAATATGGTATCATTATTATTGGATTATAAATCAAAAATCGATTCAGCCACACAAGATGGATTAACACCACTTCATTGTGCAGCACGTAGTGGACATAAATCTGTTGTTCAATTATTGATTGAACGTGGTGCACCAATTTCACCTAAAACGAAGGTAAAATTCAAAGAAAAAAAACGGTTAATGGTTTTAAAAATTAATTTTTCTTTTCGATGATTTACAAACAAAAAATAGAATGGTCTAGCACCTTTACATATGGCTGCACAAGGTGATCATATTGATTGTGCAAAAGTTCTGCTGGATTATAAAGCACCAGTCGATGATGTTACCGTTGATTATTTAACACCATTACATGTTGCATCACATTGTGGCCATGTTCGTGTGGCTAAATTATTATTGGATAAAAAAGCCGATCCAAATGCTCGTGCATTGAATGGTTTTACACCATTACATATTGCATGTAAAAAGAATCGTATTAAAGTTGTTGAATTATTACTCAAACATGGTGCATCTATTGAAGCAACTACAGAGGTAAATGAATTTATTTATCAATATAATCTCAATATATATAGATTGATTAATTAATTTTTTTTTCGTTTATTTTGTTTTCATTCATCATTCATAATACAAACAAACCATATAAATAGTCTGGTTTAACACCACTTCATGTTGCATCATTTATGGGCTGTATGAATATTGTCATCTATTTAATTCAACATATGGCAAATCCAGATGTACAAACAATTCGTGGTGAAACACCATTACATTTGGCTGCTCGTTCCAATCAAACGGATATTATACGTGTATTATTACGTAATGGTGCACAAGTCGATGCTAAAGCACGGGTATGTATTTGTTTGTGTTTATGTTTGTTTTACACTTGTTTATGATTTTTAAAAATAATTTAGGAAAATCAAACACCACTTCATATTGCAGCAAGATTAGGCAATTCAGATATTGTGTCATTACTGTTACAGCATGGTGCATCGATTGATGCCATTACTAAAGATCAGTAAGTGTATATTTCATTGTATATTGTAAATCGATTAATTGATTTTTACTAATACTAATAATAACTCGTTCGTTTTATAATCAATCAATCAATTTTGTAAAGATATACTGCCCTTCATATAGCTACTAAAGAAGGACATGAAGAAACGGCAGCAATTTTGATCGATAATGGAGCTTCATTGACTGCTCAAACAAAGGTTTGTTGTTTTTTGTTTGCATTATATCAATAATTATCAATTTCATGGTCTCATTTCAAAAATCAATCAATTCGTTCAATTTTACAGAAAGGGTTCACCCCATTACATTTGGCAGCTAAATATGGTAATATTAAAGTGGCTCGTTTATTGATTAGTCGTAATGCACCGGTCGATGCCCAAGGAAAGGTTCGTTGTTCATGTGCTTGAATAATTGATTTTTTTTCGATGAAACAAATCACTAATAAAATGATCATTTGACACAAATAGAATAATGTAACACCATTACATTGTGCTGCCCATTATGATCATGTAAACATTGCATTATTGTTATTGGAGGAAAAAGCATCACCACATGCAACAGCTAAAAATGGCTATACACCTTTACATATTGCTGCACGTAAAAATCAGATTGATATTGCTACAACATTGTTGGAATATTCGGCCAATTCAAATGCCGAATCAAAAGTAAGCAATATTGAAGCTAATTTTGAATGGAAAAAATAATAAAATTTTCAACGTTTGATTGATTTATTTAGGCTGGTTTCATACCATTACATTTGGCAGCTCAAGAAGGACATGCCGATATGGTTGCATTATTATTACATAATCGAGCCAATGTTAATGCCAAATCAAAGAATGGTTTAACACCGATGCATCTTTGTGCACAAAATGATCGTGTTAATGTGGCATCAATATTGGCTAAAAATAATGCCGATATTTCGCCACAGACCAATGAAGGTTATACACCATTACATGCAGCTGCACATTTTGGTCAAATGAATATGGTTCGATTTTTGCTTAAAAATGGTGCCAATGTTAATACGACCAATTGTGTAAGTTTTTTTTCTTGAATTCTTTCGATTGTTTCGATAATTTTGTTTGTCTCCTCTAAATAGCATGGCTACACCCCATTACATCAAGCAGCACAACAAGGTCACGTTCAAATAGTCAATTTATTATTGGAACATAAAGCATCACCTAATGTCATCACTAATCAAGGACAAACAGCATTGTCGATTGCACAGAAATTGGGCTATATTTCCGTTGTGGAAACATTAAAAGTTGTAACGGAAACCATTGTCACAACAACAACAACAACCATAACTGAAGAGAAATACAAGGTTGTCTCACCGGAAATAATGCACGAATCATTTATGAGCGATTCTGAAGATGAAGGAGGTTCGTATATTATGATAATGATCACACAAACAGAGAATAGAGATAGAGAAAAGAATCTTATTTCCTGATAAATTTCCTTTTTATTTATCATAAAATATTAATTAATCAATCAATCAATCGATTCAATTCGAATGATTTGGCAATCTTTTTTTTTATCTTTCTCTCTTTTCATTCTTTCATTCTTCATATATCTTGTTTATCTTTCATTTTTTTTCTCAAATGGACTTCGTTTGTTTTTCTTCCATCCATCATCGTTATTGTTATCCGGTCTTTGTCGCTTCATTCATTCATTTTTCCTCTATTCTTCATTTTTTGCTTCTACTTCTTCTTTTGAAATCTTTTCCGGACAACAATTTTATACATAAACAAACAAACACAAACAAATCAAATCAAAGGAGATGAATATATAGTCAATAATGTCAATCAAAATGGTGTTGGTGGCCAACATCATCAAACAAACCATCATGATGATGGTGTTGGCAATATTATTACCGGTAATGATATAAAACATTCATCCAATATAAATGAATTGAAATTATCACGGCCACAGACAAAAGTTTTCACCAAATCTAGTAAGTGTGACACACACACACACACGCACATACACAGATTGTCGAAATTTAATTTTTTTTTTACTTTGTTTAAAAATTTTTTGATTTTTGCATCGTTTTTATGTTCACGTCAATTATTCAGGTCACGTGTGTTTATATATGTTGAAACTTTTTGTTTTTTCTCTTTATTTTCTCTATACAATTTTTAAACGTTTTATTTTTCTTACCTTGAAACACACAAAAAAACAAATCTATGATTTTTTTTTCAATTTGACAAGTCAATAGCTTTCATAATTTGATTTTTTTTTTTGTATTTCAAAAAATTCACATTTTTTTTTTTGTATTTCTTCCATTATAGCCGAAGAGCTTTTTGTTGATAATCCATATCGTTATCTAACTGGTGATGAAATGAAATTTTTGGGCGATGATTCATTACCTATAGATGTGACCAAAGATGAACGTATGAATGATACATTTGGTAAAGATTCAATGGGTATGTAGAACAAAAACCTTTTTTTTATCACCAATGAAAACTACCGCAACAACAACACCCAATTTGTAGCTAGGAAATGTCCCCCTCACACACTCCAAACATGAAAACAACATCGCAAACAAAAAAAAACCTTAATTGATTTTTTGTTTTGTTTCTGTTGTTCATGTCCCTGAATGAATTTAATCCATTGGTTTTTTTTCGTTTTGTTCTGTTGTTTCACGTGTACAAATATTCATGTTTTTGCAACAACAGACAGGCTTTTAAACATTGTAATTGAAAATATATAAAAAAAATGAATATTAACCTCTAAAATTGAACACAGTTATAGGGGATAGCATAGGGAAAAAAATCTAACAAAAAAGGAAGGTCAATACAAATACAAGCAAGCCAAATATCTTATTATATTGTGGCGTGGCGTGGCATGGCAAGCAATATCTTTAACCAATGTCTTTGTTGTTGGCGTGTATTGCAACAACCATATAAACAATAATCATCATCAAATTGTTGATGAATGCAGCAACATAAAAATAAAAAGAAAGAAATACAGTTTTAAGTATCGTTGTAGTAGTGTCAAAACATCTTTGTATCCATGTAGCCACCATCATCATGATGATAATGATGATGATGATTATTGAAATATAAAATCTGTGCAAATATACACATCATTACTACTAACACACCCTATTTATCCACACACATAGTTTTTGGTTTGAGATTCCTTGATTTTCATCTGTTCATATGTTTTTTTTTTGTGTTTCGGTAAATACCGTTTCTATTACTAGTTATTTAGTACTATACTGTTGGTGTGACATTTATAAAAACGAAAGAAAAAGGCTGAAGTGATTTTTTGTTTTGTTTTGTTTATCAATAAAAATCTGATCTGTTGTTGACATCTTAATCTGAAATCTGTTGTTTTTAATACAACACGTCTTGTATTAGTGTTGGTATTGATTTTTTTAAAATTTTTCCTTTGTTTTTTTTTCAATTTTCATAGCTCCAATCACCATTGACGAAGAATTAATATCACCACAATATTTTACCATGACTGAAAATTATGTAAATGCATTACCACCGGATAATATTGATATATCAAAGGCACCGGTCAATACTGGGTAAGTTTTTTTTCCTGTATTTTTTCCCATCCAAAAAACAAACAAACACCATCCCTGATTCATTTTTAAAATTGAATTTCAATGTAAAAAAATATCATCAAAAGTGAAGTTGTTGAATGTGTGTGTGTGTCCCATTTTGGTTACATCCAAACAAAAATCAATCCAACACATGCAAAGTCATTCAGTCATTCATGAAATTTTTTTTTTGTCTGTTGTCTATTTTCTCTTTCTCATTGACTGTATTGTCATCATTCATTATATTGATGGGTGAAATTATTAATTTTACATGCTCATCATCATCATCATCATCATCATCGTCATGATTTTCTGATTCGTTGTCATTGTGTGTCGTATATGTTCAAACACAATGATGAATTGTGTTAATTTTTTTTCTGGTTAAAATTAAAAAAGTGATGATATTCGCCATCAACAACTCAAAAGCAACAACAGGAATTATTAAATCAACAATTGAATGAACAAATAGATATGATAACAAATGCATCGACAGCTAAACCATTAATACCATACAAACGTATGGCACGTTCAAGGTTCGAAATTTTTTGTTCATATATGAAAGTTTTGTGAATTTGAAAGAATTTTTTTTTTGTTTCGTGATGGTGTAATCCAATGTTTTTTTTTTGTTTTCTTCGGTGTATCAAAAAATTGTCAACGCAATCGAATGGCTTTTCATGATCATATATATATAGTGTGCATGTTGTTGGATTTTTTTTTCATAAAAAAGAAAAATTTTTTTTCTTCACTTCCAAATGCTGCTGTTATTTTTACCCATTTTCCCTATTTTTATTTTTTGTCATTTTTTAAATGCTGAAAAAAAATTGCTAATAATGATTTCCCATTTTTTTGTTTTTCATTTTTCAAATTCTCTGCTTTTACCCATCGATAATGATGATGATGATCATGGTTCATTAATGCTTTTTTGTTTTGTTTGTCCCAATTGGATTAAAACGATTCAATAAAACAAAACAAAACAAAAAATTTCCATCTATTCTCTGCTATCGCTATGGCTATTATATTTATATTTTTAAAGACCATTAAAATGGAGAAAGTGAGTTTTGATTTGGAATTTTGGATACTTTTTTTTATCATCATTGCTTTGATTTTCAAAAATTCTGTATTTTAACTATTAAATTTAATTTAATGTAATTTTCGTTCATCCATTCTGAATTCTAGCTTCTTGGTGAGCTTTATGGTCGATGCTCGTGGTGGTGCAATGCGTGGTTGTCGCCATTCCGGTGTACGTGTTATAATACCACCGCGTAAAGCACCGATGCCAATGCGTATTACATGTCGTTATGTAAAACGTGAAAAACTTGTCCATCCACCACCATTGATGGAAGGTGAAGCATGTGCATCACGTATATTGGAAATGGGTCCATCAGGAGCCAAATTTTTAGGGTAAATATAGTATCTTGAATATTTCCGTATTGACCTAATTTTGTTTTTTTTTTCACAGGCCGGTTATAATTGAAGTACCACATTTTGCATCATTACGTGGTAAAGAACGAGATATCGTTATCTTTCGTAGTGATAATGGTGAAACATGGCGTGAACATACATTGGAAGCAACTGAAGAGGCCGTACTTGAAGTTTTGAATGCCAGTTTTGATGGCGAAAATGGTATGATTTGCTGTTTTCGTATAACGTCTTTGAATACTAATCATGAAATATTATATTTCATACATTTTTCGGTACAGATGTCAATGGATTAGATGATTTCAATAATAATCGTATTACACGTATATTAACAACGGATTTTCCACAATATTTTGCAATCATAACACGTATACGACAAGAAGTTCATGCAATAGGACCCGAAGGTGGAATACTTAGTTCAACTGTTGTTCCCCAAGTGCAAGCTATTTTCCCTGAAGGAGCATTGACCAAAAAGATTAAAGTTGGATTGCAGGTAGGCAACAATGATAATGAAACAAATGTAGCGAATGTCAAGGCCAAAAAACGATTCTATTGGAATCCATTCAATTGGTTTCGTAGTTGTCAATGTAGAAATCATAATAATAAATTGAATAAACAACAAAACATTAGCAGGAATAATACTAATGATGATAAAGATATCAGGGATGAAAAAATTCTTAATAAAAATGATGATTTTAATGATGATAATACAATAACTAATGCAACAACAACAACAACAACAACGATAACATTACCCGAAAATGATAAAATAGCTGTCATTGTCGAAGGACAACAACAACAACAACAAAAACATGATAGTTTAGTGATTGAAAAACAAAAATCCGATTTCAATAATAATGACCATGATGATGATGATGATGATAATGATAATGTAAAAGCTGAAAGTAAAAAAACTATAGAAGAAACATTAGATGCATCATCAATCACACAGCCATCATCGACAACATTAATTTCAAATATAACCACTGTACGTTCAGCATTAGATAACATGAAATCCGATCCAATAGTAGAACCAATCAATAATAATAATAATAACCGACAACATATAAAACGTGATTCAAAGGTCGAATTATGGGTAGTTATCAATAATAATAAGATGATGAAAAATGATTCGAATGATGATCAAATGAAATTGAAAAATAATGATGATGATGATGATGATAAAACAGATCGAATCAATGACAATAATGATAATCAAGAACAACAACAACAACAACAACAACGTCGTAACAATATTCTACATATTGTCAATATCAGACCTGCAAGACATTCATTAGTTGTTGATGTTGATGATAATGATGATAGAATTGCCATTACAGATAACATTATTACGAATAACAACAATGATAAATCATTGACAAAAATATTAACAACAAACAACAGCATTGCGAATAAAAATAATGATGATGATGATAGAAAATTATTGAAAAAAATTAAAAAAGAACAAAAAAAGAAAAAAGAATCCAATGATGATGATCGTGATCGTAACAGAATCATAATCGATAATAGACGATCAACATTAATATCACGTACATTGAATCGTTTATTTCCCAGAGTTTATCTACTTTCACAGACACTTTGAGATTCATACAAGACAAACAAACACACACACACACACACACGCAACATATCTTCATTATTTTATCATTGTTTTGCCGAAATTTTTATCCAAAAAAGCGCGTTTTCATATCAAATATCTAATCAATCAGAAAAACTTTTTAAAATCAGTCATCAATCAATTTAAATCAATATATTAACCCTCATTCACTGTCTCTATCTCTCTGTAATACATGATTATCATTTCTTTCCAATCTTCACTATCTCTATCTCTATCTGTCTTTGTCTTTATATACACATCTGTCTGATTGTTTAATCTGTTTTTTTCTTCAAAACAAAAAAAAAATTCTAATCTGTTCTGTTACTAATTTGTTTCTGTTTTTGTTTCCCATTCATTCATTCATCATTTATATATGAACAAAAAAAATAATAATTCTCCACTTTCACTAACCACTAAACATTGCACACAAATTCCTTGTATTTCATTATGGCACTATAAAACAAACAAAAAATCGAAAAATGAAATTGTTTCAAACGAAAAAACAAACAAACAAAAATTCTTTAAAATGAAAATGAATAAATTTCATTCATTTCCTTTTTTTTCCTTTTTATTATTCTTTGTTTCATTTTCTTTTCTTCATATTCTACATATGTGAATGAATTTTTTCCATTGAGAATTTAAGCCTTGCCATTCTGATTTGTTTGTTTTTTTTAACCGGAATAAAACAAACACACTATATGCGCGCGAAAAGATTATTTTATATTTAAAAAAAAACAAAAATTGAAAAACTTTTGCTGATCATTGTATTTTTTCTTCTTTCCCAAATTCTTTTTTTCTTTTTTTTCTGTTTTTTCTTTTCTTTTTTTGTCTATCAAAAAAAAAAAAAAAAAAATTTCTTTCCTTCTAATGAAAATTAGGCCCAACCTATTCCAAATGAATTGGTTACAAAACTATTGGGAAATCGTGTTGCCGTATCACCGATTTGCACCATTGAGCCGAGGCGACGAAAATTTCATAAACCAATTACATTGACAATACCGTTACCACAGGCTGCCAATCGAGGAATGATTAACCAATATTCGGTTGATACACCCACGTTAAGGCTTCTGTGTAGCATTACAGGTCCGTTTTATTTTTTTGTTTTTGTTTCATTTTATAATTTTTTCTTTTTTGTTTTGTTTTTCTCCCATTTTTTTTGTTTTTGTTTTTTTATCTCTGTTATATGATCAGGAGGATCAGCAAAAGCTCAATGGGAAGATGTAACCGGTTCAACACCATTAACATTTGTTAATTCTTGTGTTTCATTCACAACAACGGTTTCGGCAAGATTTTGGTTGATTGATTGTCGTGAAATTAATAATGCGACAAAATATGCAACCGAATTATATCAGGAATCAGTACACGTGCCTTTTATGGCTAAATTTGTTGTATTTGCTAAACGTATGGAACAGAATGAAGCACAGGTTCGAGTGTTTTGTATGACCGATGATAAAGAGGATAAAACATTAGAACATCAGGAACATTTTACCGAAATTGCTAAAAGTCGTGATGTAGAAGTGTTGGAGAATAAGGCACAATTTTTAGAATTTGCTGGAAATCTAACACCGGTGACAAAATCCGGTGAACAATTGTATTTGATATTCAATGCCTTCCGTGAGAATCGATTACCATTTATTGCACGTGTTAAAGATCCATCACAAGGTCCACCATTTGGTCGAATAGCATTTATGCGTGATAGTAGAAAAATCAAATCGGATCATCCACAACAACCGATTTGTACATTGAATCTAACGTTGCCGGAAATAATGTCTGAAATTCCTACCATGTCTGTACGTTCAGGATTTATTTCTAGCGATGTAATTGCCGCTAAACGAGATAAACGACAAGTTGAACAATCAGCAGTTCCAATGACCAATGGTTTCAATCATGAAATACAAGAACCACAGATAATCGAAGAAACGGTTCAAACAACGGTGACGACAACAATGAATGTTGCTGAACCTCAACCAAAATCGGTTGAACAAAAGAAACGAACCAGTAGTTCTAGTAGTTCATCATCATCATCATCATCATCAAGTATGTCTAGTGATGATCAGAAGAAAAAATTACAACAACAAGCGAAACAGCAGCAGCAAAAAATTGTTGAACAAACCATTACGGCAACTGAAATTCAAAGAGGTAATGAATTCATTAGAATGTTTAGATTTTTTTTGATAATTTGAATTTACATATATAGAAACAGCTGATGCAATGACCAAACCAGAAACAATGGAAACATGGCAATCAATTGAACAGGATACCAGTCAAGTTTCTGTAACAAGTTTACCAGATGATGAAAAATCTGAACCATCATTAACAATTTCTAGCAATGTTAATGATGATGATTCTAAAATGGATACAATTGTTCAACAAAAAGGTTTCTAGTATTTTAATTTCCAAAAAATCAATCAATCAATTAAAATCATCAATTTTTTCCTATTACAGAATGGACTGAAGAAGATGAAGATGGTGTTGTCAAACACATTCAACAGACAACAGTCAAATCACAGCAATCAGGTAAAATGATTCAAGAAATGATTCTTGATGAATTTTTTTTTTGTTTCGTGCAACAACTATAATTTCCTTTCATATAAAAAATTTCTTTTGGCTAACATTTTTTTTCACTTTCATTCTCTTTCTTTTGCATGTAAACCAAACCAATTTCCCTTCATTTCCTTTCATTGTGTGTGTGTTGCTTTTTCTCAACACGGATTCTCAACTATTATTAATTAAAAGAACCAGGACCAGAAGGTGATGTTGTTCATGTCGTTCAACAACAGGAAAAACTAATTGAAACAACTGTAAGTCAAACAAAACCAACAATACAATCACAATCAAATACAATCAAAAATGATGTTCAAAGTGTTCAAACGATGGACCAAATTTCAAAACGTCCATCGATTGTTGAAAATACAGTTATTTCAGTTCAAAAACCACCACAACAACATCAACAACAATCGATTCCACCTCCATCAACTTTCACTCATCATGATGATGATGATGATGATAGCTTGAAAGATATAAAACGTGAAGCAATCACAATAACGACCAACATTGTTGAATGTGCTAAAAATGAATTGTCAAAAAAATCTTTGATAATGCCTGTAACGAAAAAATTGTCTGTTGAAATTTCCGATGAAGATATGGTTGAAAGAGGTGATATTGAAGAGATAAAAGATAAATTATTGCGTTCAGGTAAACGATCATCAAAATCACCAACAGAAACAACGCCTACGATTGAAACAATCAAACCAATAATGGAAATGAATGTGGCTAGCTGTTCCAATTTGAATGCAAAAATTTCAAGCAGTACAAAAAGTGGCCTAAAAATATCTCCAAGTCGTGAAGAAATTAAAGAAATAATGATGTCATCTTCTGAATCATCACAACCATTATCGGAACAGTATCGAACACCATCATCAAGTCGACCACAATCAAGTGAATATGATATGATAATCATACCAGAAACAATGTCTAGGTCTGGCAGTCATGTAAGTTCAGAATATGTTACTTGTCCAACAATGACACGTGATTCATCATCATTTCATACGGTACCTAGTCAAGAATTGACTAGTTCCAGCCAATATTATACACCTCAATCAAATTTGAGTGCAAAAAGTAGTTCACAATCCGTTGAAACTGTTGGTAGTTCATCAAGTAATATTGGTGATTTATCCGAAATAAGTGAAACAATTGTTCATGAAGATGATGATGATCGTATTTCACCAATGGATAATGATGATGTTGGTAATTATTTTGATGATAATTATCGTAAAATCGATCAGATTGATACAGCAAATGTTGAACCATTCAATTATGATGTACCATCATCAATGTTAAAAAATGATATTGATGATCAACAATTATGGTTGACTAAACCAACTGCATCATCAACATTATCATCATCTACTACAAATACTGGTAATGATCGAATGGAAACAACGGCCGATAGAAGTCGATCATATTATATTGAACCATATGATAATCCTGAACCAATATCAATGACATCGTTTTATACACAGAAAACAATAACAACAACAACAACAACAGCTGCTAGCCAACAACCACAATCATCATCGATGATAATTTCATCACCATCAGAATATATTGATAAGAATTTATATACACATGTTGAAGTAGAAGAAGAAATGAGTGAAGGTGATAATTCAGATTCATTGCGTAATAGATATGTTGTTGGTGGTGGTGGTATTGGTAGTTTACAATCATCATCATACCAAGCATCACCAAAAAATATGACCAATATAATTGGTCATCGTACTGGTGGTAGTAATATTTTGACTGAAACAGAAACAACGTCTTCAACTTCTTCTTCATTGAAAGAATTTGAAAGACTAGAATGTGAAATGTTTTCAAATGCATCGTCATCATCGAATCAACAACAACAACAATTGCAATCATCATCATCTATACGATCATCGGCAATGTTGATCGATATAGATGATAATAATTTCCAGTTACTTGACTCTAAGCAAATGAATTTAGAGCCAGGTGAATCGGAACAAATTGTACAATCAGAAAATCTTTTATTCGATGATCAAGATGATTTTAATCCAGAAAGTTTAAATTCAGAGATTAGTCAGGTTACGTGTATAAAAATTTCAAATAATCGACAACAACAACAACAACCTAGTAGAGAGACCAATGTGATTCAACAACAACAACAATCATCTGGAGATGATGATGGTGGTGGTGGTGGTCCACAACTTTTAGATGATTTTGATCCAATAGTTCCATCAGATTATCATCAACAACAAACAACAATGCTTAGCAGCAGTATGGATTCAAATATAAATCCAGTATTGGATTGTGATTTTAGTTCACTTGATTCATCAATGATGAGCATGAGTGCCGCTTCAAATATTGATACAAATACTACTATATTACAATGTGATGATATCAACATTGAACATCCACATCCAGCATTGATTGCATCGATGACACAATCAATCGAACAGGCAACCACCACTGGTGTTGATGATGATAATCGATTTGCCGGTACGATTTATATTGATATGATGATGATGATTTTGAAAGAAAATTTTCAAACAATTTATTTTTGGTTGAAATGTTGAATGCTTGAATTTTTATTTTTCTGATTTGATTTTTTGCATCTCATTTTTCTTTTGTTGTTGTTTTCGTTTTCGTTTTTGTTGGATGAATTCTTTGTTTGTTTTTGGTTGAATGTTCAATTTATCATTTTGAACTTTTGATAATTCAGAAATTTTTTCATTTCATAGAAGATTTTAAGAATGGCAAATTTGATGCTTTTATTATGAATGATGATGATCATTTACAATCAAGAATGATGACCACTACAACGGCTATATCGACAACAACACTCAATTTGAATGATAAACATGATGATCATGATGATGATGATGATGATGATACAAACAAAATTCAGATTGTTATTGTATAACGCATAAAAATATGGAAAATTTTCAAAACAAATCATAGAAAACAGTTCATAGAAATCTGATGATGATCTTTAGAGGTTTGATTTGATAATTCATCCATCCAAAACTATGGTTTATGGTTATTTTTATTCCGTTTTTTCATTTCTTTTGTTCAACTTTTTTTTTTTTAAATTTGAATTTTTGGTTTTTTGAAATTTTACTTTTCTTTTTGATTTTTTTTGTTTTGTTTTTTCTTTTTTTTTTTTTTTTGGTCTATCGAATGTCAATAACACACATTTTTAAATTGTTTTTAATGAATTTTGTTTTGAATTAATTTTCGTTTTTGTTCATTAATCATTTAGGCAACATCTACGGAAGAAGAGAAGGAGAAAGAGAAGAAGAAACCGGACAAACAGAATCAAGAATAATTATGACCGAAACGGAAACAATAATGACCGATGATGATTACCATGGTACTAGACATATGGTTGAAACACAAATTGAGCACAAACATCAACAACGGCGAAATCATCATCGTCATCATCATCATCATCATCTACGTCTTCATCATCAACATCATCTTCTTCTTCTTTTTCGAATAGCGATAAGGATAGAAAACGCAAACAAAAACGATAACAACAACAAAAAATTCATTTTCCTAATATATCATCCGGAAATCATTACAAATCAAAAATTGTTGCAATGTTGCATCACATCGTTTTTTTCTCTCTCTTCAAAAATTATCTGAACATTCTGATTCTTTTTTTTTTGTCTCTGGTGCCCATCTCAATCAAAAATTTATATTTATTCACAAAAAATACATAGCCTCAAAAAAATGAAAATAAAAATTCAAAAAAAAAACAGATATACTCATGATGATGATCGATTTGAACATTTCATAGGAAATGTTCAATTTTTCTCCTTCTTTTTTTTCGTTGTTGTTGTTCCGGTTCATACAACACACATAGACACAAATTGCACACAGAATGGACCTTTCACTATGGTCGCCCATTATGATATTATTTTGTTTTCTTTTCTTTTCTCTCTGTGGAACACTACTCCCAAAAACTACATGCAATTTTTATTCACAAAGAAATGAAAAAATATTGAAAAAATTTGAAATAAAATAAAATAAAAAAAAACTTTTTCATAACTAGAATTTTCCAGTTATTTTCATTTTCATTTTGTATTCATTCAAAAGATAAAAAGCAAAGTTGAAAAAAAAAATTTTTTTTTACTTCTCAATTCAAACATGAATGAAATGTGAATTGAACCAATGTGTGTGTGTGTTGTGTTGTGTGTTTGTGTGTTTGTAATGATATGTGATATTGAAAATGAACAAAACAAGAAAAAAAGACAACATTAAAAATGAAAAAAAAACCGACGACATTACCGAACGAATTGTTCACAATTTGGTTTTGTCCGTATGCTTGTCTTTCTCTGTCTGTTTATGATGATGATGATGATGTGTGTGTGTGTGTGTGTATATGTTTTGTATACCAATGAATCAATGTTAAATGGCCAATGATTTCTGGAACACCATCACCATCACCACCACCGCCGCCACCGTGCCAACACATTATATTCAAATTTCTGGTTTCGTTCTCTGATCATCATCATCATCATCATCATCATGTGTGTATTACAGAGAGACAGACAACAAATCTACTAGCAGCAAAACGATAAATGAACAAATTCATTTTATATATATAAAAGAAAGCCAGATCTACCCAAAATTAAAGATCAAATTTGTATGGATCCAAGTGTTGGATCGACATTCGACCAAAAAATTCGAATCCAATACACACACAGACACACGCACACACATTTTACATATGAATTTCAGTGGAAAAAAAATTTTTTTTCGAGATCCTCGGGCGGGCTTGCTTGGTTGTTTGAGAATTTATTTTTATTTTTTTTTTTTTGTCAGTTGTTCATCAACGTTTAACACATAGAAACCGAAAAATAGTGAAAAAAAAATTTGTAAATTTTTCCTGCGTGTGTGCGTCTGGATCTTTGTCATGTGTGTTTTACATGTTTCGCCAATATTTTGAATTGCAAACCGAACCGAATTTTTTAAATTAAAGTTCCATTCCATTTTTGTAACCATTTTGTGAATGAATCGCCACACAAAACGTTGTCGTTGTCGGGTGAAATTTTTTTATATTTTATTGATGTCGTTCAACCGCTGTCATGATCATTCGATCCAGTGTCGTTGAATATCAATTAATTTTAACTTTGAATGAATGAATTAGCGTTGTTTGTGTTTATGGCATCATTTTCGTTTATTCGTTTATAAATTATTAAATTGAATTTTGTGAAACACGTGCATCAAATATTTTTTTTTTCATGGTCTGGTCTGCATTTTAATATTTCTGTTTACGTTTTTTTTTGAAATTTTTTTTTCATTGTGATAATCGATTATTTGACAATCGATTATATGATGTTCATTATTCGATTTCATTGAAAAACATTCGAATTTTCACATCATGACTATTACGACAGCATCAACAACAACAACAACAACAACAACAACGATGATGGAATCCTCACAAATAATTCTATTGGAAGGTCCGATTAAATATCGTGACCAGAAAAAGGTTTGTTAACTCTGTGTATTTTTAATCTGATTTAATAATCAAAAAAAAAAAAAATCATTGTATGCAACACCAACAAAAACCACAGTGGAAATCCCGTTGGGCAATCATTACGAAATTATCACCAATTGCAGGTAAGTTTGTTAATTTATTGTTTGTCTGCGTTTTTTTTCCTAGATAATTTACATAAAAAAACCGCATGCAATGAATCCATTTGATGTTATCAGTTTGCAACTAAATTTATTAATTATAATTAAGTATCAGAGAATTTTATCATCAATGTGAAATGGTTTTTATGATTATTATTATATATCTACACATTACGAATGTAATATGAACATTATAATTAATGTCGACATTATTATGATGATTGAAAATTATTATTATTCATAAATCATGATTGTTTTGGAATATCATTCTGAATCGGATCGGATCAGATCTACATTCATTTCATATGTATGAAAAATTAATGAATGATGATGATGATGAGAAAACAAAACAAAACAAACCACACACATTCATTCGAAACATTCACAATGTGTGTGATTTGTGTATCTAAACAACCAGAAACAAAAAATACTGGAAACCATTCATCATGGTTATTCATTTTTTTGGTTGTTCATCAATAAATTCATGAAACAATCATCTACATTTGATATGAAGATGTCAGAATTTGGTTGTATTGGAATTTTGTTTTCAAAGTTCGATAAACTCGTTGAAATTTTTTGTTTTCAGTATTGAAAAATTGATTTCATGTTCAACGTACAAGTTTGATTCATTCACATTTATCATTATGTTTTTGTTGAATATTTCAATGATTCAAAAAAAAAAATTTTTTTCCAAGTATTTGTGGATCGATTGTATGCCTATATTTCGAGAAGCATAACGAACAACTATCACTCTTTTTGTATGTGTTTGGAAACTTTTCAACCGGAAAAATAATCGATAAATCGCGATGAACAATATGAATTTAACAGAACTTTTTTTCGGCTGTTGTTGTTGTTGTTGTTATTGTTTGAAGTATTATCTATTTGAAGTGATGAAGAATATTCAAGATGGCCATAAATCATCACTGAAAAATATTCGACGAAAAAAAATGACTTTTTTTTCGTTTTTTTTCTAACCACCAAGAATTTATTCTTTGTGAATAATATAACCAAATTATCGATAGAATAAATAGATGATGATAGAATAGAATGAATGAATGAGATGGAAATATATATATACAAGTAAATTCCATAACCAACCAATTTGCAATGATGTTTCATTTGCACATAAAAATACACACATGACGACCATTTTTACAAATATTTACAGATAGATAATAAGAAAACCAGATAAAAAAAAGAAACAAGACAACAACAACAGCAAAAGCAAAAAAAAAAAAATACAAACGAAATACTTCGAGTGTATATTATATGTGATAAATGAATCATCATGATTCATTCGTGTAAAAATGTGTAATGCTGCAATGTTTGTGTGTGTGTGTGTGTGGGGTCGGTTTTTTTTCTTACTCAAGATGATCATATTCATTCGAAATGAACTATTTTTTTTCTCTTTTTTTTGCCGTTTGTTCAACAGAAATGTTGCCCTTTTTATTTCAATGTTTCTGTTGTTTTTGATATCTTTGTTTTTTTTTGCCATGACGGAAGATGAATTTCTTTTTTTTCTGATTTTTTTTTGGTTTTTGTTTGCTGGCATTCATTTGAAGCCATTTGAACATTTTAAATGGTTCAGATCTTTGATTTTTTTTTCTCTCGGTGTAACGGAGTAACCGCTTTTTGTCTTTCAGGAAACACTATTTTTTTCTTCATTCTTGATTTCACTCCCAAAGGATCGCTGTTTATTTTTATTTTTATTTTTTTGATTTGATGTGGTTTTATTGAATGAAATGCAAATGGCATTTTCCGTTGTTCCCTGTGGTGAAATTTCATCATACAGAATAGTGATTTTGTTTAGTTTATATTTGAAATTCATATTTTTTTTTTTTTTTGTTATCTAAATATATGAGATGGCCATAAGTTATTTGGATTTATATTTTTTTTTAGCTTGCCGTTTTTCACAAAAAATCCGATTAAGCCAATTCTTTTTTTTCTTCTTCTTCACTAAATGTGTTCAATGGTTTCCTGGAACAAATGTGCTTGTTTTTTTCACATTTTTCATACATTTTCTCCCCCTCTTCCTTTTGTTTAGATTCGCTGCAAGTAATGATGTACAAGAATTTTAAGGAAAAAATGAAATATTTTCAATCATCATCATCATCATCATCGGCAATGAAATTGAAACCAATATTTGAATTGGAACATTATCTTGGTATTGAAAGTGGTTTTGTTCATGATCGTGAATCAAATACAATGGCCATTATATGCATCGAACAGACAATATTGTTGGCATTTGAAACAAGAGAAATTTTGCTTCAATGGCAAACAAAATTACAGGAACATTTTTGCAAAGGTAAGCTTTATTTTTTTTCTCTCACTCCACTTTCCTTTCATCACAAATTGGAATTGTTTTTTTTTTGTTTTGTTTTTGTCTATGTTTTTGTTTGGTTCCATTCTAATTTTCACATTTTCTGCAAACGACAACAACAACAACAACAACGACGACGACGACGAAAAAAAAATGTAGAACGACATTTTATTGTTCAAGTGGTCAATGTACCCAATAATGGCCATAATACGATAACATCGAATCATCATCATCATCAGAATAAAATTAAATGTGGTTCAGCACGATTATTATTACAGGATTCAATTTTTTGCCTAGTCACCGGAATACCGCCATCATTAATGTGTTATTGGTCGATCAAACAATTACGACGTTTTGGTTTGATTGATGGTAAATTCTGTTTTGAAGGTGGATCACAATGTGGTAAAGGTTTGTTTTTGTTTTATTTTCTCACTATAATCTCTTTTTAAAAATGTAATCAAATCAATGGATGAAAGAATCCCGATTCGAAAAAAAATATTCAATCAAATTCGAATAGAATCATAAACAAAAATCAATCGATTGATTGATCATTATCAGATCCATTAGTTTGGGTGTGTCATGTGTGAGATTTCTATTTTGGTTTTATTTTGAGAGAAACAAAAAAAACCCAAACATAATTCTGTGTTTTTCGTGTCAACTTTTTTTTGTCTGTCAACCATAATGTAATTTTCGTTAATTATATTCTAGCTATTCATAAATTTATGAGACACAAGATATAATGATTATAATAATTACGAATGTATGTGTGTGTGTGTGTGTGTGGTCGGATCATCCATTTTATTTGTTGTTCAAACATTTTTTTCTTTTCCTCTTTTGTGTTTATTTTGATTGTTTTATTCACATTTTCACTTTTTCTCTTGCAATTTTTCAGGTATTGGCCTACATATTCTTTATACAAGTGAACCTGAAGAATTAATACGATGTTTTGATCTTGCATCAAATGATCAGCTAAATTCATTTGAATCATCAATGTCAAAATCGGATTCAATTTCACATTATAGTGGTGGTAGTGGTGGTGGTGGTGGTAATAATAATGGTTTTATACATAAACAAAGATCAGTACCAAGTTCAGATAGTTCAACCGGTGATTCTAGTTCACAATTATTATCCAGTTGTTTTGGTGATGTTGATACATTATCTGCAAATTATTATTGTGGTGGTGTTGGTGCAGATGGTTCAATGATAACAGTGAAAAATCCGGAATTCTATCATTCAACAATGAATCTAACAACTATTAACAATAAACAATATACACTATCACCATCATCATCATTGAATAATAATAATAATAATATTCTGACCACAAAATGTTCATCATCATTCAGTTCGAATACAATAGGTCGTTTTTCAAATTTAACGTCCAGTTCAAAACTAACGGGTTCAAATAATGTACAAAACAATTTAATCGAATGCTGCCACCATCACCATCATAATCATCATAATCATCATCATGCTCATAATTCTTTCGTTTGTTGCCACCAACACCCACAACAACAACAACGAAATAACAGAAATAATGAAAATAGTAACCTTTGTATGATATCCACTGCAAGTACTATGACATTAAAACATTCAAATTTTAATTCATTGAATCCAATGAATGCCAGTAATATTGTTGAAGACGGCAATAGTAGAACAATCATTAATTGTGATCACGAATCATCAACATCATATTCATCCATCCATGACGTACATAGTTTATGTAATAATAATCTACAGAATCATAGATATTCCACTTCATCATCACCTCCCATCACCAAAAATAACAAAACAACAATGAAAATCATATGCAATTCTAATGAATCAAATTCTTCACTTTTCAATTCAAGTCAAATGAATGGTACGACAAATGCTGAATCGTTCAATACAACAACAACAACAACAACAACATTAACGAATGGCAATTATACGAATAGATTGACTGCAAATAGTCATTTCCATGATGTTGGAAATAATGATAATAATAATGATGATTCTAGTCGAATGAATAATATTCATTTGAATTTCACAACTTGTACCAATCGTACTACTACTAATGATGATCATAATGAAAATATACATGAACCAATACAAACGACAACAATGTCGAAAATTACGAATAAAGAAATCGATTCTCATACTCTATTACGATCTCATAATCATCATCATGATTCAATGAAGGTTAGTGAAGAAAAAAAGAAACGGAAAACATTCTTAGCGGATCGATAGAGTTTTTGTTTTCGTTTCGACGACAATGACTGTAGTTTTCGAAAACCCCACAAAAAAAACATCCCATATATATAGTGGGTCATTAATCATTGCTGATTTCTTTTCTTTTCTGTTTTTCCTCTCTTTTTTTTGATTTTGAACATTCCCGGTTTTCACCACCATCATTATTGAATAGGACAAAGAATCAATAATCGACCATCCGTATCATCGAATTAATTTTCCCGGAATTATTACTACAAATAGAAAAACATCACAAACAACAACAACAACAACAAATTCCAATGCAATGGACAATTATGATATACCGAAAAATTTGTGCATGATGATCATGATGGTAAGTGATTGGTTTTTTTTTGTTTTGGTGGTCAATATTATCAATTTGTACGGAATTTTTTTTTGTTCCATTTTTTGTGTGATTATATTATGGTCACACAAGTTTTTTTTGTTTTGTTTTTGTTGTAAAATAATTTCTTTTCTTTTCTGTTTTTTGTTTTGTTTTTAAACACAAAAAAATATAGAAAAATGATGATGATGGCGAAAAACAGCAGAATAATGTTTGCGTTTGTAATAATAATAATAATAATAATATTAATGGCCATGATGTTGATGATAAACAACCGAGTCTACATAATCATCATGATGTTGATGATGGAACAAATATGACAAAGAAAAAAATCTGTTCATCATCATTGAATGGTTGTTGCCGTTTTTGTTATTATTATTCTTGTTGTTGTTGTTGTTGTTTTCGTGGTTCCAAATGTTCAACAGCAGCAGCAACAACATCAACAACAAAAGCCGAAAATTCAGGCTGCTTTTGCAACAACAACAACAACAACAGTAGCAGCAGCTTACACTGTGATGGATTTTATGGCCAAAAATCTGTATATGATAGATTTTTAAAAAATGATCAACCAACAACAATGCAATCACCAGTTAATTGTTTTCATAATGGAATTACTTATGAAACAACAGCAACAGCCGCTGTTTCAACGAATAGCTCATCAATCCATAATGATGGTGGTGGTGGTAGTAGTAGCGGATACGCAACCATTGTTAAATCATCTTGTAATCAATCAAATCATCATCATCATCAACAACAACAACAACAACATAGGATATATAATGAAACAGTGAATTCTTCATCATCATATTTTCGACTAAAAAAGCCCCAAGAGATAAATTATGAGAATATAAATTTCATCAATTCAATGAAATATTATGAAAACATGTGTTTTGATAATAATGATGGAAAAATGATCACCATTGCCACTCATCATACATCATTGAACCAAACAAGTGATAATAATGATGATGATGATGATCATCATCATTCAAGTGTTCATGATAATATCCATGAACAAAGAAGTAAAGAATATTCGAAAGAAAAAGATACGAATGATCTAGATGAAAATCATGATGATAATATTAGTAGTGAAGAAAAAATTTTAAAAGAAAATGGCCTATTATTATCCAAGATAATAAATGACAATAATTCCGTTGCGAATAAAATGTTAACAGAAATAGTGGACGATAGAATGGAACAACCAACAAACCTTATGGTACCTATCAATATAATCGAAAATCAAGAACGAAAGCAGCAGGAAAAAATAGCGGCCGTTAAAAATGATTCGAGCATCTGTATTATGATGATGGTGGATAGTAATAATAATAATGGCCAACATACGATCAACGTGGGAAATGAAATAGATAGTAAAACTAATTCGAATCGACGCTTTAACAATAACCAAGACGAGTCTAAAAAACATTCGATGAATGAAAAAGAAGAGGCGGAGAAAGAAGTGAAGATAGAAAAGAATGAAAAAGAGGACAATAACCAGAATAGCCTCAACGATGCTCCTGATGATGATGTTGGTGAAAATGTGGTTCAATGTTCCAAAAAAGATGAACCAAACAACAATCCAAGCGTATCATTAAACATGGATAAAAATAAATGCAATGAAGATGATAATCATTTTGATCAAAATGATGATGATCATCATAACATTAGCAATCATGATCATAAGGTTCATTGTTCTAAAAACAAAAAAGACGACATCTATTCAACTATGATCCATTGTTCCAAATGGAACAATGAAAGCAATGTTGATGATATCGAAATAAAAACTTTTAACCATGATTTGGATTCTATTTTAAATGAAAGAACAAAGAAAACAACAATATTACTGGATACAATGATGGCTGATTCTATTATTCAGGAATTCAAATCACCGAACCGTAACAACGATGAGCTGTTAAATGGGATAAAAGCAAAAGTACAGAATACTACTACGAATGACAGCCATATCAATATAACAAATCTAATTTACTCGACAATTCCCGACGACGACGATGACAACGATAACCTAGAAAAACATTTAACATTTAGCGATTCAAACATACTGAACATTTATGAAAGAAAACGATCACAGAGCATCAATGATATTGTCAACTTGATGATGATGACATCAACAACGGCAACAACGTTAGCAGCAGCATCAGCTGCAGCTAAATTGAATAAACAAACAATGAAAAGAAAAGGCAATTCTTTCGAATGTTTGGGTCAACAAATGGAACTATGGAATCTACAGCATCAACAACAACAACAACAAAGCACGCGTTCATTGTACCATTGGATCATCGTTGATTGAATTTTTTTCCACTTTTTTAAAACATTCAATAAAGACCAGAATAATGGAAATTTAATCGGGTTTTAAATTGATTGAATGGCTCAACATTTGATATTTTATTGAATTCTTTTTTTTTTTCAAAGTAAAAAAAATCAAAGTTTTGTTCTTTATCTATTCTTACTATTATACAGAATAAAAAACGTTTTTATAAGTTGTGCTATGTGTGGAATTTGTTTTTTTCTTTTTCTTTTTCTTGTCGTTTCATGGAATTTTTTTTTGTCTTCTTTTTTTCTTTTCAATTTTTATTTTCGTTTTCGCTTGAATCTTGAATCGATCAATTTGCTGTGGTTATAGAATGAAAGTGTCCATAATGGTCATCGTTATCATCAATACTATCATGGCCACGTTCACCATGATGTGGTAAAGTTGTTGTGTCAACAAAATTGAGCCAAAAATTGACACAAGTCAAATGATATTGGATGTCATTACCACCATTATTGGCATCGATCGTCATTCCTAACGAATCATTTGTTATCGATTCAACTTGTTTATTGTCGTCGTCGTCGTCGTTGTTGTTGTTGTTGTTACCCAAAATTACTCGTGTGGAACAAATCCAACATTTTTTATCATCATCACCATTTTCATAGTGAAATTCTTTTTGTGAAATGCGATCATTCAATGTAATCGATGCTTTTTTCATTAAATTATGTATAGAATTCCAATTTCGGTCGATTTCATCCACTAATGTACGACACTTATCATCAGAATCGTCATCATCATGTTTTACGGTGAATTTTATTCGTTCAGCAATCTTATATACCTGATATAAATCTATGGAAAAAAACTCATTTAGGTAAGCATAAAAAAAAATTTAAAATTACCATCAACAAATGTATGGCCCTTATTTGATGTTAATGCTTCGATCACGGATGTTTCATCATGATTTACAGCCAAAACATTGAATGTTTTATGCATCACTTGTTTGATGGCCGTTAGAATTCTTTCTCTTATTTGATATTTATTCATAAGATTCTTTTTCTCATGTTCAAACCATGCTGTTGATGACATCGATTGTGTATGAACATATTCCTGATGATGATTAGTTGAAAATTCCTGTTCGATAGGTTGTGAATGAAAGTCACCAAATTCTTCCTGTACGGATATTTCATTTTGAAATTTTCGAAAAAAACTATATTTATCTTCTTGTTCCCCAGTATCGGATTGAACGACGGTACAGGCAAAAAGATCTTCTTGATCACCGAAATCATTGTTGGTGTGATTTACTTCTTCTTCATTATTAAAGGTTTCAACAATTTCGGTTTGAATGAAATCACCAAAATCGTCATCATCATCGTTATTATTATTTTTTGTTTGAGTTTGCTCTAATTGACTAGTGATTGTTGATACTTCAAATAGGTCTTCAGTCATAATATTATTATTATCAATTGGGTTCAAAGTGGAATTTTGTGGTGTAACAAAAAGATCGGCTAACGGTGTGTTATCATCGACGTTTGTTGAAGCTGATTTGAATTCACAAAATTCATTCTCACCAAACGAAGATTCAGATAAATTTTCAATTTGTTTTATTGGCTCTGTTGTTGCGGTAGATTCTTGACAAAATAATGACTTTGCAAATGAGAATCCTGAAAAATATGGCACCGGTATCGTTTGTATTGAATATAATTCCTGTAATGGATTGGCGACATTTTGTTGAACTAAACTAATCAAAGCCAACATGACGAATAATTCATTTCTTGTCAATTCACCCGGTTTAGTTCGATTGACAAATGACCATAATTTTGCCAACACATCATTGGATAGATTAGATGTGATTAAAATCTGATATAATCGATCACGATCACAGAATTCTGATTCACCATTACCGACAAAATTATATTGCACTGATTGCCATATTTTAAGATAGATTTCTGGAATTTCTGAATGTAGATAAAAACATTGTGGAATCACAAGTGGTGAATAGAAATTCGTTGATGAATTTGTGGCCGATGAAGTTTCGATTGGTTTCGAATGTATATTGTTGGTCCATGCTGAGAATGAAAAAAAAAAATTCAAAAATCAGAATAATTTATAATTTTAAAAGGCTTACATTGATTACATTGATTTTGATGAAATTGTTGAGTATTTACATTAAGTAATTGTTGTTGTTGCTGCTGCTGTTGTTGTTGTTGATAATGATGAGTATTATAAAATTTCGTTATCTTAGCATCGGTATCAACTTTTTCAAGAATATTCTTGATCAATTGATCAGCTGAAAGATCTTTATTTCGAGTTATATCATTTTGTTGTAAACGTTGTTGTTGTTGTTGTTTATATAATTTATCACGTTTCAATTTCATTGAATCATTTTGTTGTTGATTATTTGGCTGCTGTTGTTCCATTCCATTAATTCCATAAAATTTCGTTTTTCATACCATTTCGTTGATTACAATGATCCAAAACATATGGAACAAAAACAACGACAACAATATATATATATATATTGAACTCGAAATGATCCAAAAAAGAAAAGAAAGATTTCCGAAAAAAATTCTTCAACAAAATCAAAATATGTTCGAAACTTTTCCTTCGTAGATCCATGCTTTTTAGTTGTTAAATGCTTCGTCTGCAAGTGATGATGCTGTTTTTGATTGGAAAAAATTCAACAATTTTTACCGCTTCTAGATTATATCGTTTCAATTATCAATATCGTCGTTTTTCATCAAAAATGTTGCTTGAAGATTTTCTTGTTAAAATTGGTGAAAAAATTCCATTACAATTAGCATGTGAATGGGACAATGTTGGATTGTTGGTGGAACCGATGGAAAAATTTCAAATCAAACGTATAATGTTAACAAATGATTTGACCGAAAAAGTTATGGATGAATCGATCGTTAAAAATGTCGATCTAATCATCGCTTATCATCCACCAATTTTTCGTCCATTCAAATCGATTTGTCAATCAAATTGGAAAGAACGAATTATTGCCAAATGTTTAGTGAACAAAATTGCCGTCTATTCACCGCATACAGCACTTGATGCCATTCATGGTGGCATTAATGATTGGCTTCTTGGACCATTTAAATGTTCAAATATAAGACCAGTGGAAATGTCAACACAAAAACCTAAATTTCAATATCAAATTCATCTAAATGATGGCGAAAAACAAGAATCATTTATTTTTGATCAATTGAAAGCCATGAATATTCCAGCTCAAATGTAATATCTTAATAATTTATTAAATCAGCCAATAATTTAAACTATTTTTTTTAATCTTCTTAAAATTGTTAGAAATAAATCCCATGGATTAATATACTGTAATGGTGATATTTTGCCCATAATATTGGACAAAATCAATAAACAAGGAACAATATTATCATCGATAACTAGCTGTCAAAAATGGCCAATTTTACGTGAAGGAATGGGTCGAATTGGAAAATTATCGGAACCTATAACGATTAATCAGATTGTTTCTACATTGAAAACAAATCTAGGCTTAGATAGAATTCGTTTAGCATTAGCCGATAATCATGCCGATGATACTATGATTCATTCGATTGGTGTTTGTGCTGGATCCGGTTCATCGATCCTTCGACAAATACGACCATCAATAGATTTTTTCATTACAGGCGAAATGTCTCATCATGAAGTATTGGATGCCATTCATTCAGGAACATCGATAGCATTATGTGAACATTCAAACACTGAACGAGGATATATTCGTAATGTTTTATATGATTATTTTGTTGAAAATTTTTCATCATTATCGATTTCAATGTCGGAAGTGGATAGAGATCCACTTCAAATTGTTTGAAAAAAAATCATCACCATTTTTATTCACCTCTACCATTCAGAAAAAAAACAAACAACAAATCGACCGACAAACAACAACAAATTATCGATCGATCAATATATTACAATGACAAAATCATCATGGTCGTCATAAATTATCCAATTTTTTTTCAGGATTTTAATTCTGAAAACAAAAACAAAAACCAACAAACAACATTTTACGTAAATGGATGAATGAAATCAACAACAACAACAAAAATCAAAATTCAACCAACCATGCTATATACAATTTCAATATTTGAAAAAAAATGAATACGGCGCTATTTGGCATTTAAATAAATGAAAAAAAAAAAATTTTGTCCTATCTTCGATGAAGTGGATCCTCGATTTTTTTTTCTCGAATGTTGCTACTGCTGCTGCTGCTGCTGCAGTGTTGTGTATATTTTTTGTTTTTATAATGATGATGATAACCAGAAAAAAATGAAATGTTGCTCTCAGCCAGCAAAAAAAAAAAAACAATGATGATGATAATAATAAATTGAGAATTTTTACTATATTATTAAAAAAAATGATGATGATGACCTACAATGTACATGTGTGTGTGTGTTTATGATGATCATCATGATCAACAATCGATCATAATCGATATAATATACACACATTTGCCATCTGATTAATATATGATTGAAAATCTTTGGATTTGTTAATAAATTGAATCAATAATCATTGCCATTATCATTTTTTTATATATATACCAACCATAAACTGATTTTATCGCTTTCGTCATTAATTTGTTTGTACCAGAAGAAAAATTCAATTATCAAAATCTACAAGAAGCAAAACTCGTGCGGTCCATATATTATTTCACAATATATATTTTGTGTGGTACGTACTCAAGAAACAAAAAGAACATTTTCCACATTTAAATCTCTTTTTTTTTTTTCTTTCCATTCAAGTTTCATTTTTTATTTTGGCTTATTGTTCATTTAAAATAATCATCATCATCGTCATTATCATCGACAACAACAAGTGTCATCATTGTTGATCCATTTTTTTTTCATTTGGCTTTTTTATTGTTTCGCCAACATCATCCATTGTTTCAAAAAAAAAAAAAAAATTTTTTCTTTTTCTTCCAATTTCAAATGTGCCTTTTGATTTGAATTCAAGATTTTCAGGTAAGCTCCATTCATTTACACAACTGTCTGATGTTTGTGCTCATTTTTTTCTGTTCTCTGTCTTGGAACCAAAAAAAAAAAAACAGAGAAGAAAAATCTCTTTTAAAAGTCGGGATTATCTCTACAATGAGAAAATATCTGCCTTTTTCTTTAATTTTAAAAAAAAAAATACCTAACCCATTCACCATAAATGGAAATCTAAAATTTCACCTGAAATCGGTAATAATCAAATGGCCATATATATTTTGTTGTTGATGATTGAAAGAAAAACGACAACGACGAAAAAAAAAAATTTTCATAAATCGAATACAACATGTAAATTTTTATTTTTTTGTTGATCGAAAATCTTTTTCACGAAAAGATAGAGAAACCTGTTTTTTATGGTCCCGTATGATGATTATGATGATGATGATGATGATGGTTAATGGTTGATGATAATGTGATGTGATGTTTTTGTCTTCTATTCACCACCAATCATCATTCTTTGAGTTAGGATGTGTGTGTGTGTGTGTGGTGTTTGAACAGAAAACCATCATCAATTTTTTCCCATTTGAATTTTTTTTTTCTCTACATCCCCACCTGTTGTGCATGTGTATGTGGATTTTGTTTTCTGTTTTTTTTTTTGATTATTTTGATTTAAGATGGATTTGATGTGAGAATAATAATAATAATAAATCCGATGAAAACGAGAATGAAAATGAAAAATACGAAATGATGATGATTGCACGCGTCTGTGTTTGTTTGTGTGATGATGATGATGATGATGAACAATGTGAAAATCATTTCATCATCCAGTATGTATGTATAATTTTTTGACCAGTTATCAAAAGTGTGATGGCCCTATAATGGTGAGATGCCCCATTCGAAGAAAAAGAAGGGAAACGAAAAACTTTGGCCAATCCATCAACATTTGAAACGTGAGATAGAGAGAGAGAGAAAAACGGAAAAATAAACGAACGAATGTTGTTTTATTTTTTTTCCTCAATGATAATGATGATGATCATCATCATGTTTAAATGTGGCCATCATCGTCATCATAAAAATCATCATTGGAACATGGTATTCATCGAATCAAGTAACTTTGTGCATCCTGTGTGTGTGTGTGTGTGTGTGTTTGGATTTTAGGATTGCGAAAATGATTCGATTTCCTTTTGGTGTTTGTGTCTGTGTTTTCTGTCGATATAGTTGCCAAATCGAATCTTTTTCGTTTTGTTTTCAATTATAATCTGGTTAATTTGCCATGACCCGAAAAATCTGTTTTTAATTGATAGTCATAAAAAATTTTTTTTTCTTTGTGTTTGGTTTAAGGTTGATTTTATTTTGTGTTTTTTCAGTTTTTTTTTTTTTGATAATTTGAAATTTGATTGTCCTCGCTATTTATAATATGAATATTGTTCTGATTTACTAGGGAACCAATGAAAAAATTTTTTTTTTTCATGTATTTTATCAGCATTTTATCATTTTTTGTTTTTTTTTTGGTTTTGCTGTGATTCTTGTTGTTGGCATTTGACGATGATCATGATCCCCAGGATATCCTTTATCGATAGCTTTTTCGATGGCTGGTTTTTTTATGATAATTTTTTGCCATGTGTTTTTTTTATAAGTGTGTGTGTGTCTGTTGTTTTCTTCAAAATCCTGTTGATTTTGTATGATCATTTTTTCCACATTGATATATATCTTTTTGACCAACAACAACAACAACCATGACGAGGATGATTATTGTCGTCAATTTTTTAAGGCCAATTATGTTCAACGACCGAATGTGTGTGTATATGTGTATGTTTGTTTGTGATTTTGCGACACACGCCCCATCATTAACAACTAAAAATTTTTTTTTTATTTTTCCACCAATTTAAATAGTGGCCATATATTTAATGAAAATTTTTTTTTTGTTTCGTTATTCAAAACAAAAATCAATCAATCGATCAGTTTGATTCGATCATTCGAATCGAACAAAAGTGTTTGAACTTTTTCTTTCTGTTTTTTTCACGAATCTTTTCCAAATTCTCAAAAAAAAAAATTTTTCTCTGTCTCTTTATTCGCTTATTTTTTTCTGAATATTCTTCTCTTTTTTTCATTCATTTCCAAATCAACAAGTTGTTTGGCTACACACGCACACACACACACAAACTGTGGTAAAACGTATTCGGCTATAAGAGCAGTCCATCATTGGGTCGCATATTGCTGTCATATTTAAAAAATTTTAATTTTCACTTTTTTTTATGTATGTTTGAATTTTATTTAATAATAATAATTCGATATATATGAAAAAGTGAAAGTTAAGAAATGATTATTATATAATTTCCATTTCTTAACATTAAAAAAAAAATTATAATCGCAAGCTGCCCAGTGAAGGGCTTCTCTTGTGCACGAAATTATTCGACGATCAAATTGTTTTAAACAAACTTATCTAATCCGGATCCACTTGAAAAAATTATTCATTCTTGGCCACTCATCAACCTGTTGATGATTTCCTATTTTTTTCTCGTTATCTTTTCTTTTCTTGCTTGCTTTTATTTTCTGATCATTTAACTTGTTGTTGGCCAATGGTTTTTTTCTCTTCTCTTTTTTCTTTTGCTAAAAATATTTTTTTTTTCATATCAAGAGACTTTTAAAAAAGGTTTTCTGTTCCAAGATTTATTTTTACTTGATTCGAGGTATAAGAATTTTTCTTTTTCTCTCATTTGATATTACATTCATAATTAATGTATGAATTTTTCATATTTTTTTCTCGTCCTGATAACAGAATGACAACTGAAGAAGAACAGGAACAATCAACAGCGACTACAAATACGACTACTGAACAATGTCAATCATTGACGGCTAATACTACAACTACAACTACTGAACAATGCCAAAATGATGATTTGGAAATTCAACAACAACAACAGCCACAATCAAAGCAGCCAAAATCTTTGCAATTAGAACAGAAACAAGAACAACAATCGGAAACGGAAGAAGAGAAACTTGAAGATGCTGAATGGTATTGGGGTAAAATTAGCCGTGAAGAAGTTAATGAAAAATTACGTAATCGTCCAGATGGAACATATCTAGTACGTGATTCGATATCGAAAATTTTTGGTGAATATACATTAACATTACGGAAAAATAATTGTAACAAATTGATCAAAATAACCAGCCGTGATGGTTTGTTTGGTTTTTCCGAACCATTTGTATTCAAATCGGTTATTGAATTAATCAATTATTACAAGACTGAATCATTGGCCAAATATAATCCATCATTGGATGTAAAATTATTGTATCCTGTATCACGATTCTATCAGCCGGATATTGAAGGCATTGAAATTAATGATATGGAAAAAGTGAAAGCACGTCTAGCTGAAGTACGAAAAGAATTGAATTCAAAAAACAGTCAATATGATCAATTGAGTGAAGATTATGATAAGAATAATAAATGCATACAACGACAACGGCAAGCAATACGTTCATATCAATTGATCATGGGTTTCATACAGGATCATATTAATCTTAATAATAAACTACAAGTCCAGGCTTTGCCACATGAAGCAAATCTAATGCAAGAACAAAAACTTAAATTACAAACACGGTTGAATTTTTTCACTAAAAGTATCGGTGATCTGGAGAATGATCTTAAATTAATGATTGCCTATAATCGTCTATTGGATCGTGAACGTAATTCCATTAAACCAACATTACAATTTCTTGGCCGACAACATAATATTTTGCAAAAAATTGTTGAACAAAATACTGATGAAATTGATTTACAACCACATAAAATCGAAACAACATGGCTAATAAATGAATGTAAACGTAATGAAGCTGAACAATTGTTGAAGAATAAAAAAGATGGTACATTCCTAATACGACAAAGTAGACAACAAATGGGCAAATATGCCCTGTCTATTGTTAGTGATGGAAATATCTATCATTGTCTGATATCACAAACGGATCGTGGTTATGGTTTTTCTGAACCATATGATATTTTTCCAGATCTAATGAGTCTTGTATTGCATTATTCGAAGACATCATTGGAAGAACATAATGATAATCTACATACAACACTTCGTTATCCAATATTTGCACATTCATTTCATCATTATCATTACTATTATAATAACAATAATAACGGTAAAAATGATGATAATTGATTCAGCAACAAAAAACAAACTCGAAACGAAACCGGAAAATTCATCTAGTCTATATTTTTTCCCAAATATCTCATTTCACTATATTCTATATTTTTTGTATATGATATATATAATAATTTTATTGATTATTGATTATTGATCTGTGCTGTAAAAAAATACACACACACACACACACAAACACTCACATTTGTTTACATGAATGATTTATACCTTTTTTTTAAATAATTTTAATCTTGTCTTGAATAAAAATTTTCTCGATTTTTTTTCAAAAATTTTAAATTTTTATTGTCAATTTTATTGAATAAGCAAATGTGCAAAAACAAAATTTCAATCAGGAATTTTTTTTTATAGAAAAAAAAATTTATCGAAAATCACGCCTTGAAAAAACCTGTCATGTCAACAGGACCAGCAGCAGCAGCAGCAGCAGCAAAAAATTCGATTGTAATGAAATGAAAAATTTTTCAAAAACATAATGATGATGGCTCATTATGTTCTGGGAAAATTTATCATTTCTTATCAAGTGGTATAATTTTTTTTAAAAAAAGTGAGTTTCTTTAGTCCAACAATTTACGACATTCTTCAATTTTTCGTTTGATTTGTTCATTCTTTTCATCATTTGTATATGGTAATTGAATGAGAATTGAAAAATTTTCATCATCAAATTTGATCAACATGGAATCCATATCATTATTAGAATTCATTTTTTCACCTTTAAAATGATAAATGTGTGCACGTTTATATTTCATTTCTTGTTTAAATGAATGATTTCCATTACAATAATAATAGATATGATCATCTTGATTGATAAAATAATCTTCATTAGCAGTGTTATCATCAATTGAAGAAATTTTCAACAAATCATTTTGAACATTTGACAATGAAGATTTTACGATGAAATTGGCGGTAAGTAATTTTTGCAACACATTGTTTTTCGATTTACCATCACAAACATTGTCAGCCACATCATCATATAAAGGATCGATCTTTAAATCTAAATTTTTAGTTGAAATTCGTCGCTTTCTTTCAATTGAACAATCAATTATTTGAGCAAAACGTTGTTCAAATTTTGATGGCCAAATTAATGAAAATTGTTTGAGAATATCGGCCGACATATATATGGTTGGCTCTTCTTTTTGTGAGGAAAAAACCGAAAATCTTATCGTACGAACCAAAAATCCAATGGCTATTTTAAGCTCTAAATGACCAATAATAAAACGTGATCTCAAATCGGAAAATTCTCTGTAATCTATTTCCTCATCAATTTCCAATGATCTCAAATAGTCTATTTCGATAAATGCTTCATGATTAGTGGCATTCTGATCGATGATTGATGCTTCGTTTCGATAATTTTGTTCACTTTTTGAACCAATAATAATGATTGGAATTTTTTTCTGATTCACTTGATCAGATTCAGTTGATTGATTATCATTGTTTGTGGTATTAGAAATTTTTTTCTGATTTACTTGATCATTACCATTATTTTGATTGTTTATTCGATTGTTCATACTGGAACGATTACGGTTAATTGAAGTTTTATCCGATGAAACCATTGAATTTTGAGCAGATGAAATTGATGAATAGTTGATTTTACGAAAACCATATGTATAGATTAGCTCGTCAATATAGCGACATTTGACTATTGAATGTGATCGAATACGTTGTTTAAGTTTAAAACAGATTGGACATAATGAAACATCATCATTGATTAATCGATTAAATAGTTGTTCTAATTCTTCAAATGTTCCTGGTTTCAAAACATGATGGCCATCAAATATTCGAAGTTTTGATCTAATCATTATTAAAAACTGAAATGGTGTACCACAATGTAATAATTTTGGCAATTTTTTCATCAACTTGTGAAAATAATATGTTTGAAAATCTTCACGAACCGTATAAGCAATATGTAATGCAATACGAAATAATTGACGAAAATTTTTTTCATTATCTCTTTCATCCATACTATGATTAAATTTATCAATTAGATCGTCGACATTTTTTTCACGTATAGCTTGGCAACAAACATTAAATCGTTTTCGTAATATCATAACAGCATCGTTGATTTCATTTTTATTTCTAATTAATAAATATGCTTTCGGATTGTTACGAAGAGTTTTTTTCAAATAATCCATTTTTGTTTTCATGTCCATTGATTTTGGGCCATTTACAATAAATTCCATCATTTGTGGATAATAATCGAACCAATTTGTAAAAGTTAATTCCAGTTTATTAATATAATAAACATTTAATAATGCATCGATATTTTCTTCATTACCAATGACAGCATGATGATGATTTTTATCATTTTTTCTAATCATTTCTGGTTCACATTGTCGTTGCTGTTGCTTTTGTTTTTGTTGTTGTTGCGGTGATGGTTCTGTCTTTGGCTGTTTATCCATGTTGTTGGCCACTATTTTCTCCGATGATGATGATGATGATGATTCTTTCTTATTACTATCCTCATTATTTGCAGTGGAATCATTTAAAAAATTAGCCATACGACGTGCACGCATTTTGAATTTATCAACCAATTCTTCATCATATAGATTATCATCATCGGCCAAATTACGATTAAATTTACGTATCAATTCAATTACGTTACGTATTTCGATTTTATCCACAATAATTTCCGATGTATGACCATCATTAAAACTATCAAAATAAGCATCAAATTTACGTATAGCTTTTCGACGTTTTTGGTTTATTTCTTGCAGTGATGATTTATCCATTTTTTTGGTGGTGGTGGTTGGTTTCAATAATAAAAATGCTCGAACGTTAGTGATACCACGTTGTTTTTCTTACACTTTCTCTACTATATCACAACATGAATATTACTAACTATATAAAGCCGAATTCTAGAATGAAAAAAAAGCACCAACAATCAATCAATCATAATAGCAAAGAATCTATAGAAAAACTTACCTTTTGACTCAGTAAAATTTCAAAAAAAAAACAGAAAATAATAAATCAGCACAAATTAATATATATACTCATCAATGGAAGACAAACTTTTCTCGCTCTCATAGAATATTTTTTAATCATTAAATGTTATGATGATCGAACATATATAATCATAACAAACTAAATGGTGTTTAGATAAAAAGTAATAATGGTATTATGCCGATCTCAAAAAAACGCTTGATGGTATAACAAAATATATATTTCATATATGCAGATACATAACATACAAACATAGAAAATAAAACTCAATGTTCATCAACTATTCATCTCTAATATAATAAAACTTCAGGATGGCCAACACACAAAAGAAAAATATCCGCCGTTGCTATACACTGCGCTGGCATGCATGGTTTAAATTGTAGCTTGAGCTTTTTTTTTTTACAGTCAAACATGTTTTCTATCAAGAAAGATAACATGGTCCAGAGATACAGTTGTACACACAGTAAAAAAATTTGCAACCTCAATCAAGGGTTGATGATGTACAGCGAAAAGTACACGGTGGGAGGAGATTATATATGATGAGAAAGCGAGGGCATTTACATTGAGCCTGATTAATACATTGAAAGTAAAAAAAACGTATAATCATGTAACGTGTAAATAAATTTTTCTTGTATCATTTCTTATAACAGTAACATATTTATTTTTATTAACGGTGCCAAAAAATATGAAAAATTTTTCCAAGTCCGAATATTTTGGATTTTTACTGCAATATAAATGTGATGAAAAATCAAAATTGATAAATTCACATTTGAAATTTGACTGAAAATAGTTTGATATGACCAAATTCGAATTGAAAGTATTTCGGATGGTTGCAATCCAATCTTTAGATAATGTGCAATCAATTCTTTGTGTTTATTGGGCAATCGACAAAATTTCATATCTAATTCATGACCGACATGGGTTGTTGTCCATTTAGCAGTGTTTCATGTGCCATCTTTGATCCTGGTTAAACTAATTTGGGATGGACATATACAGTAATACCCCGCTTAACGCTGCCCTGTTTAGCGCTGATTCGATATAACGCTGTACAATTACCCTACATTACATTACATTGTTACGTTGTATATGAAGGGTATAAATGCATTATGTAAAAATAGCCCCACTTAACGCTGTTTCGCTTAACGCTCAGAATTTTTGGAACGTAACCCCCGCGTTAAGCGAGGTATTACTGTATTGCCAATTTTGTTTTGTTTGATTTTGCAGCTCTTTTTCGCTCCGATCTATTAGCTGGTATGGTTCCACGGCACGAGCAAATATAATTTGTTTCTTCTTCAGTTTTCTCCAAAAATAATTTGAACATTTCAAAATCTTTAAATTTCAAATTTTTCACCTGAATTTCGACACCATGTGTCGATTTTAAATGGACTGCTAAATAACCGGCATACTTTTGCCTGCATAGACAGAACCAAATTTTGAATAATGAAGCATCCATTGGCAAGAAACTACTTTATTTTTGTGAACGCTGCAACCAATCATTCAATTCTAAATGGAACCTAAAACGACATAATAAACGAATACGAATAAAAAACAAAATCGAAATGATGATGAAAAATGTTTATGTTCATCGATTTCAACTGCTGCTCATACCGGTAACGGACACATAATGAAAAAACGAAAAAAAATTAAAAACCAACTATATCCACACTAGAGGCTAAAAATCGACTATATCCACACTAGTCTCTTAAAATTCTATTTACTTTCAAAAAAATTTAATGATTTGAATACTGATTCCAAAAAACTCGAATTTTCTGCAAGTTGAATATTTTCATGCAGACATTGTTGTGTCAACATGACTATGACACTGTGAATGTCAAGTCGTGTCATGGTTGTTTTACTATATATATTGTTTTTATTTGTTTATTTTTCTATTTTTTAAGCTTGTATATAATAATAAATGATTGTATTTCATTTGAATAAAGTTGATATTACTAAAAACTACAGTTACATTCTACGATCCGAGATGGCATCATTGAACTTCAAATTGTTTTTTTTTCGAACAAATTCATTGAAATGCAAATCAAAAAAAAATTTTTTTTTTTCGAGAAAATCATGAAATATTCTAAAAATCAATGGTTTTTGTTTTTGTTTTAAAAATTTTCACTTCTCACACGTCTTAATCACCATCATCATCATCATCATCATCATTATCATCTGTCATGGGTGTCATCAACAAGAATTTTAAAATTCCCATACACACACACACATGCAAACATTATAAAATTTTGCTTTCATGCACGAAATAAACTCGTTTGTAAAAAATATCGTGTGTCCATAAATTTCATTTCATTTATTCAAAAAGATATACAAGATTGAAAAGTTCCAGGATTGATCATTATTATTTTGACCATCATCATCATCATCATCATTGTTGTTGTTGTTGTTGTTTTTTATTGTTTGTGGTGAATGTTGTTTTTTTTTATTATTTTTTATTTGTAAATCATTCATTTAACGTTCAAAATAAAAAAAAGCCATATAACAACAAAGACAACAACAACAACAAGTTTTTTTTCTGTTGTTGTTGTTGTTGTTGATCCAATTTTATTAAAATTTATTATTCCCATTACTTGACCTGTTGATTATCCATTCTTGTCGTCGTACAAATATAATAAACTGACAAATCACACATACACACACACACACACACACTTGACATGATAATCGAAATGAATGAATGGTGAAATGTGAAATAAAAAAAAAACAATAAAAAACACACACACACACACACAAACAATTTATTGTCAAAAAAAAAATTAAAATAAGATTAAATTGCGATTCACCACTTTTAAATCAATCAACGATTCACCACAATTGTGAATGAATTAAAACAAACAAACAAACAAACAAAATGACAGAATGAAAAATGTTCACTGGCTTCATGATTTTCCTTTCGATTTGAATAGATAATGAAACAAAACAAAACAAAAATCCAAACCGTAAGCCGACACCTTATCTGAAAAAAATCTATTGTCATGATGATCAACAGTACCACCACCACCACCACCATTATTATCATCGTCATAATGATGATGATAAATCAACTTTCGATGCTTCTATCACATCGGCTTCTATACAATTGTCTTCAATCTTTCTTCGTCCTTTTTTTTCTGTCGACAAATGATGATCATTTTCATTTCATTTTTATGAAAAAAAAAGAAAAAAAAATCTTTAAATATACTCTCTGGACAAATTGCAATCGTTGTTGTTGTTGTCCATCCATTTTTTTTTTCATGTGTGTGTGTGTGTATGTCCACTTTCAACCAGGTATGTTTTGGTGTATGTGATGTGCGATCTCTTAGTTGGTTGGTTCCAGTTGATTCACGTTCAATTTTCGGTTAGTTACGGATAATTTTTTATTTCTTATAATGATAGATAGATCAAATAGTTCATTCAATTATTTTGTAACTAATTTTTTTCTTTTTTGGTTCAAAATTACTTGTTTTGACAAAAAAAAAAATGAATTATATTAACCGGCTCAAAAATGGTGGTTATGTGTGTGTGGTCAATACAGATTTCTGATGATGATGATGATGATCATTATTATTGATGATGACCATTGAATTCTAGTCCATTATCATCATCATCATCATCATCATGCATGCAATGTTTGTTTGTTTGTTGATCAATCAAAAAAAAAAATTTTTTTTCTCTTTTTAAATTTTAATTTTATTTTTTCATTCAGATTCAATCCATGTATGTTTTTTTTGGTCATGAATGGAAAGTTTGAATTTTTTCTCTCTCTCTCTCTCGCTATATCTCTCATTGAATCCTGTTTGATCATCATCATCATCCAAAACAGCGGATATATCGTCTTGAATAGTGTGTATGTAATAAGTGGTCTGATCAATTTTGTAGTCAACAACACACACACACACACACACACATATCCTGTATATAATAGTGAATCTCTCTTTTTGGTGTTGTTGTCTATATCACCTGTATGAATGTTTTTTTTTGCCAGATTCAAATTCAATGCTTCTTCTTATTGTGTGTATGTGTTGTTGTTGTTGTTGTTTTCTTCAAATTCAAGATTTTAATTTCTTTCTTCGTTTTTTATATTCAATTGTTTTTCATACTTCTTCTTTTCTCTGTGTTCGTGTGTGTGTGTGTGTGTGTTGGTGTGTGCATCAAAAGCATCCATTGCCTTTAGTTCTATTTTTTTTTTTCTTTTCATCTTTTGTCTGTCTGTTCATATCTAATGAAAATACAGGTAAGAAAATAAAATGAACAAAAAAAAAAACATAAAGAGAAAGGCCATTTGAAGAGATGGTAGTTCCAAAATGAATGAATGAATGTATGTATGTAGAACCTGAACTCCTGTTTTGTTTGTGTGTATAGTCCAGTTATAACTTTTTTTCGTCTTCATCATCATCATCATCATCATCATCATCGTCGTCGTCGTCGTCAGTCCATTTTCATTTTCAGTTTCTATTCAGATGCAGTTTGTGCTAGTTTTTTTTTCTTTTCTTTTTTTTTAACTTGTTGCTACACACATCCACAACAGTTGTTCCGTTTTTTTTTTCATTCATTCATTCATTCATTGGCGGTTTCTCTACTTCATAACACTTGTTGCATGTTTGATGGAAATAATTTTCTTTTCTTTTATTTTTCGTTATTAATAACTTGATGAGATTTTGATTTACAATTTTGTAAATGAATGAGAAATAGAAAAAAAAATAAACTATTTCGTTGTTTTCTTTTTGGTTAGTCTCGGTTTTTTATTTTCATTATTATTATGGTCAACGAATTTTTTGTTTTTTGATCCAACATCATCATCGTGTAGTTGACCATTGTGTGTCTGTCTGTGTCCGATGTGTGTGCGACGATTGATCCCGTCGTGATTGAATCGGGATTCAAAAATTTTGTTTTATTTTAATTTTTTATGAATTTCAAAATCAATATAAATGATGACCGATATTTTAATTAACCGGTGACCGTTATTTTCTGGTCTCTCGTCAACAACAATAACAACATCGATACCTACAACTGCCAATTTGATATCTGTGAAATTTTAATTGTCTGGCAACACCCACCCACCACCGACTAACAACATTGATAATCATTCAACTTGGAATTTTTTTCTTTGATCTAAATTTTTCGATCATCAATCTAATATTTAATACATCCAGGTATGTTAATATCATGATAATTTCATTTTCGTTTTTTATTTTCTTTTCTTGTTTGATCTATTTATTTATCAATGATCTGAAGATCCTGGTATATTGGAGAAAAAAAAAAAAAAAAAAGTCAGAGAGTACGATAGAAAATGTTCATGTTTTATTCATGAATTTCATTCAAAAAAAAAAAATTTCACATAAAAGACCAAGATCAATATGACGATGTTGATGGCAAAAAAAAAAAAATAAACAAATTTGATCCATTGACTGCAAAAA